ACATTTTTCTATGAAATAATTTTTCTCAACACATATGCTTAAGTGAAAATAAAATCATTTTTCCCGCATTCATTTTACTTAAAGTCGTTTTCTGGTGGAACAATTTTCGAAAAATCTTTCTACCAGTAGGCGACTTTGTCTTACTAGCAAATATACTCGTACGTTGCAATGGGACACACAATTTGTTTCCGTGCCCGTGCCCATTGCTACAGCAAAAGACATGAAATTAATCACATTTAAATTGGTTTATTCCAATTTTTAGATACTGCACAAAATATTCAAATGATGTAAAAAAAACTTAGGCAAAGTTAAAGGAGGAAGCAGGAGGCAAACTTGGGCAATGCCATGAACGACGGCCAACACGGCGGCACCAGCTTCTCCGATGAACGCAGTAGCAGGGCCCAAGAGGAGGCAGCGCAGACTGCTCCATCTCAGCGGCGGCGCTACGTGTGGGATAGGACCAGCGGCGCCGCAAACCCCCAAAACCAAAAAAATTGTGACCTTATCATTTACGGAGGCGGTCGCCTAGGTGTGTCTACCTCCGAAAATGATTTGACCCTATATTCTAAAATCATTTTTCTAGCAGTGGGCGTGGAACTGAACCTATGTGGCGGCGCCAGGAGACAAATCCTTTTTTATCGGAGCCATGTGAGGTGAAGAGACGTGAGTTGAGATGGATGCGAGCAAGTGAGCCGGACGATTGGGTCAGATAAAAAATGAAAGAAAATTTTGTTCTCTTTAAGAATTAGGTATAGATTTTTGAGATTTAGTGGTTACAACCTTACAGGTATATTTTTGTAATTTTCAACATATATGCTCCGTAGTGGTATATTTTTGTAATCTTGATACTTGAGTCTAGCACTGTTGGTGACTCATACATGACGAGCAATCCTCCTTGCAAAGCCAAACATCACCGTGCGCATAGGGGAGAAAACACATAGACCGATAGCACATGGGGGAGAAAAAAAATGGGAGAGAAAGGGGCTCCAATCCTAGCCATTGCTGGTTGCTTGGACGGTTGAGATGCTGCACGCGATCCTGGTTTGCCAGATGACGAACTTGTGGGCTCAGTTCACGTGGGATCCATGGGTCGGTGAATAGACATCCTCGTGCCTCCCTAGCAACGTTTAGACGGTAGCACGGCACATGGATAGAGCCAACAAGGGTTTCTAACCTTTTTTTGAACCAGGGGTTTTTGACTTTTGAGTTTTCTAATAGCTGCACGACAAATGGGCACGACACAGAGGTACAAAGGCTCTGTTTGGTTGGATGGCTAACCTAGTAACCCCTAACCAAACTTCAGGAGGCCACCTTCAAGCTAAGTTGGTTGCTTGTTTGCTAGACCCTAGAATGCCACCGACCACCCTCAAGCCTAGCTTGCTGGATACGCAAGGGGCGGCCGTTCTCAGGGAGCCGGGCTTGGCTAAACACCATGTGTGAAGTCTCCTCACCGCCTACCCTCTCCCCACCGCCTCTTCAACCTTCGCCTGGGAGCGCACCTAGCCCTGGGCCGCCGGCGGCACCACGAGCTCTCCCCGCGCCCTCTCTCCTGCTGCCCTTTGCATTTCCGCGCTCGGCATCTGCGCGACGAGGCACTGAATCTCCCTCTGCATCTCCGCGCTCAGCATCTCCACTTCGCCAGCACCACCGGAAACCCCAACCATGAGCACCTCCTGTCCCACACGCGAGGTACCGGGAGGTGGGAGCAATGCATGCACATGGCGGAGCGATGCATGATGGCCAGAGCGGCATGCATTCGCAGGATGGCGCAACGGTGTAGGGTCGAGATGACGGACTAAAGGGGGGTGAATATTCCTTTCTAAAATTAAACGCGTTAGCTAACCGAGAAAAATGCGGAATTAAAACTAACGGTCTAGCCAAGACTACACCCCTCTATCTAAGTTCACAAGCACCTTATAAATATCCTAATTAGACAACAAAGGTGCCGGGCTAGCTAGAGCTCACCTAATCAATTCTAATAGCAAGGACACACAAACCTATGCAACTAGTACTTCAAGCAACGGGGGAGCTCCTACACAATCTAGTAAGTAAAAGCACAAAGCTCCTAAGTTCACTAGCAATGCTCAATAACAAGGCTACACAAGCCAAATTAGAGAGCTCAAATCACTTAACTACACAAACTAAGCAATGTGACTAACAAGGTTACTCAGACCAAATTAGTCACACAAGGGAGCTACTTCTATGCTACACAAGCAAGAAGGTAACTAGCAAGTTACACAAGCTAACTAATTACTACAGCAACTACACAAGCACAATGTATGAAAAGTAAGTACAAGCTTGTGTAAAGGGGATGCAAACCAATAGGAAGACAAGAATGACACGATGATTTTTATCCCGAGGTTCACGTGTTTGCCAATACGCTAGTCCCCGTTGTGTCGACTGCACACTTGGTGGTTTGATGGCTAATTGGCATCACCCGCCAATCCTACACATTGGGCACCGCAAAGAACCTACCCCAAAGTGAGGGTAGCTCAATGACACGCTCTACTAGTGTTGTTCTTCGCGGCTCCCGCGGGGTGAGCACAATACCCCTCACAAATCTTTCTCTGGAGCACCGCACAATCTTCTTTGTGTGCTTCGATGGAGACCACCACCAAGTCGTCTAGAAGGTGGCAACCTCCAAGAGTAACAAGCACCACCGGCTTGCAACTTGAACAACTAGTGCCACTCGATGCAAACCTCACGATGCAATCGTACTAGAATCACTCACTCGCAATCAGATCACACTCTTGCAAGCACAAATGAGTTGGAGGGCTCCCAAGCACTCTCAAGCATGGACACAAAGTCCCTCTAGGTGCTCAACCTCAGCCATGCCCGAGTACCCCTTTAATTTATAGCCCAAGGGCTCAAAAGAGCCGTTGCTCAAAAGATGCTCGGGGAGGTCCGGACCCCCAACGGTAACAAGAAAACCATGCTGTCTGCGTGGAACCGGACCGAGCAACCGGACCATCTCACACCTTGGTCCAGTTCAGTTCAAAGAGAGCTCCCAAAGCAACCGGACCATCTCAGGGTCCTGTCCCTTCAAACACATGTAAAACCGCTCAACCGGACCCAGAAAACATGGTTCTGACCCTAGAATCGGACCCACGAGACAGGGTCCTGAGCCAGAGTCCTGAGCGCTAAAACGATGATAACTCTTAGCTCCGAACTCCGATTTCAATGATCTTGGACATTTTGGAAAGCTTACTCAGAGGGCTACACATCTCACTTGCATATTTGATCCAAAGCACAATGGATCAATGCAGAATTCCCATCCAAGAACCATCAATGTTCAACACAGACTGTTGCCCAACATCAGGGTCCTGTTGACCTTTTCACCTCTAAATCATCTCAAACTTCTTCTCCTTTGCAAATGTGCCAACACCACCAAGTGTACATCATCATGTGTAAGTGTGTTAGCATTTTTCAAAGCATTAGTCACTCAATTCACCACGCCACTTGATCTAGCAACAATGCAAAGTTAGATCACTCGAATGGCACTAGATGACCGATATGCAAACAAGTTTGTCCCTCTTGATAGTACGGTCATCTATCCTAAAACCGATCATAAACTTCTCTACACACCTATGACCGGTGAAATAAAATACCCTATAGGTTATACATTTACCTTGCGCATTCTATTTCATTCCATCTCCTCCATCGTTGATGCAACACATGCACCAATCATATCACAAATGATATGATCCACTTCATATCATCACATTACCTTATTGGTTCATCGATCTTGACCTCACTTGCTCTTCACCGTTGCTTCGGTCCATCGACGTCAAGTCATCACTCAGCTTGCCCTTCATACTTGCAACCGGTCTATCAAGCCAAGTCGTGTCTTGATCTTCTCCACCTTGGTCATGACTCAATGTCATGCCTCATATGCAATGAGCTCCTTCATCACATGTGTGAGCCTTGCAACATATCGAAGTCATTTCCACCGTCATGGCATAGGTTGCTCACACATGATGTACCTGTGGACTAATTACCTGTGTATTTCACTTAAACAAATATTAGTCCACCTAAATTGTCACTCAGTTACCAAAACCAAACAAGAACCTTTCAGACGGCAAGCTCGCCTGAGTTTTGGAGGGCCGCGCAAGGATGGCCCATGCTGCCCTCCATCGCCGAGGATGGCCGCCACGTTGTACTCCGTCACCACCGAGGCGCCCGTGCTGCCCTTCATCACCGGTTGGCACTCAACGATGGCCGCCGCGCCTCCGACTACCCTCCACCCACAACTGCACGCACAACAGCAACTGTGCTAGCTTCCTAGCATTCACCCAGCACCCCGACAAACTCCACAATGGGCAAAGGAGTATGTTGGTGGCCCCGACATCCAACGCTCACCACCTGCTCGACGAAATGTCTCACAGAGGTAAAATTACCAGGAAAAGAAAGAAGTGATTCTATACAAGATAGACCAAGCAACCAAACACGTCATTTGCTAACCAGTCTTAGGTAATGCAGCCAACCAAACAAGTGAAGATTGGCTTGCGAAAACAGGCCTGGGCTGCCCAAGCTTTGATTCTAGCTAGGCTAGAAGCACGCCACGAAACCAAACATACCCTCACCCGCTGGCAGATGCCAGACGGGATCCACAAAGCATGCGCACCATGGCATATGAGTTTCACATCTCGAGCTAAAACAACTCATTGCAAGTTGGCAGCATTACATGGTGAATATGTATATACATTAGGCTGACTCCTCACAGGGAGAAAAGCATATAGCAGAGGCACCGCGGAACTCTCCTCCATGCCCCGGGGAGGCGGGGTGGGGGGTTATATTACACATGCTATCTAGCCCTAGATTACACATCTAGCAATCTGAGCACCACAAAACTGGGGCTGCAGCAAGGCGTGCGAAGAGATGGACCCATGGGCCTCGCCTCGCAACGGTACACAGCTTTTGCCGGATTATAAGATTATACAAGGTAGTACAACGCATCATGCCCTGACAAGTTGACCGAGGCATTGGGGGTTCCCTCACAATCATATCCTAAATAGGTACCGTAGGTCTTCCACGGTGAGCCTGACCGCATGGCCACCGGATTTGTCTTCACCGAAAGCAGAGTTCACCATGGTTCTCTTTTCCTCCTGTTGAACAAGCCAATATCAGGGTCAGATGATCCAAGTAACAGAATTTTACTAAGAACATAGAGTTGATGTGTGATAGGATGGCTACATCAGAATAAAGATCACTTCCCATGGTACCGCAAGTGCTTTGTAGTAAACTAGGTTACACTTGCTTGGCTCTCTTTATGCTGACATGTGACAAGCGAAACATGATTAAAGCACCTATCAGGTTATCATGCAATTCTCTCGAGGGCCAGATTATGCAACCAACTAAACATCTTTTTTTTAACAAAAATGGCAGGAGCTCTGCCTTTCAATTAAGAGAGTTCAAAGGGCAGTACAGGTTAAAACTGAGGCCCAGTGGGATCTAGTAGCAGTTCCCCAACTAAACATCTAATGATTGCAGTCATCTTTAAAAAACATTACATGATTAAATAACATGTGTACAACAATGTTAATGCATAGCACTCATGCTCCAAAAAAAAAACTAATCAGGCAAATGGCCTGTAAGCAGGGGAAAAGATGCATCAGCAGCAAAACTTTTAACCAGAATTATTACCTGCAGAGCTAAAATACGATCTTCCACAGTATCTTTAACGGTCAAGCGAGATACAGTAACAGGCCTAGTCTGCCCAATCCTGTGTGCCCTATCAACTGCCTGTTCCTCAGCATAAGGGTTCCACCAGAGATCAAGGAGAATTACATGGCAAGCAGCAACCATGTTGAGACCAAGATTACCAGCTTTCAGTGACATAATCATAACTCTAACCTGAAGAAAGAAAAAACTTCTGCTTAGTATGTCTGGAAACTGTAAAAGAAACAAAGGCGTGAAAAAACTAACATAACAAATGACCTCTGGGTCAGTGTTAAAATCCTTCACGGCTTTATCTCTTAAATTGAGAGACATCGTTCCATCTAGTCTCCTGTACTGTATAAGATTGTTATTCAGTGAAAGCTCCAGCAAATCCAGCATGCCAGTCCACTGAGAAAAGACAATGGCTTTCACAGGGGCTACTCCACTTCGGTTTGATTCCATTGTATCACTTTCAGTAAGGGCATTCATGTTAATGATTTTATTCAGTATATCAATGGCTGCTTGTATCTTGGATGAGACAAAGCTGATTTGACTGATTGAAGATGACTCATTATCTGCAGATGAACTAGCTCCTGCAGAACTGGATTCGCCAGAGATGCAAATCTTTAAAGCTCCTGACGAAAATAACAACTCAAAACCTAATGTTCTACTGCAATTAGGGGCAGGGCACATAGTCTCATCAGTCGTTATTCGTTCATGTATACATTGATAGCAGAAAACATGACCACAAATTGTCACAATAGAATCCTCAGGTGTGTCCTGCAAAAGGTATAATTTCATTGCAGAAATATAACATAAGCCGAAAGCAAAGCATTTTAAAGTGCATGCAGTAGAATGAAAATTTGAAAACCGGCTATTGTAAATAACACACTTACATATTGCACGCCAGGAAATAGAAAAAAATGAAAGAAAAAACTTTCCTAAATGTGTGCAAACTTGGCCCAGCTCCTTGGTAATGTTAGGCGGAGATACATGACACAAGATTTAAGCATGGCCCAGAATAAAATATGTTTTCACCATCATTTTGTTATGTGTTCATGTCCAATGACAAAAACTTCTAAAAAATGAAGTTTGATGGAGTAGATTCATAACAAAGTGGGATCACCTGAAAGGCTGCACCTTAAATGAAGGAACAGACCTAAATTGGATTTTCCAAATGTGCGTACTTTAAAAAAAATCATATTAAAAATTTACACCACCTATTTCTGCAAAAATATGCTAAATGTGTGCTGTGCAAAGAGATAACAGATAAGCATCCTTTGTTAAACATAACTATGTTTTGCAGTGCACATGTCAACATTTTTTTGAACAAGTACATATTTTAACATAAATGTCTGGATTTTTTAGGAGTTTTTAAGGTGTATACATACCCAAATTTTGGAGGAGCTAGTGCAGAAAATCTGCATTTGGGACCACATGGACAAAACTTCTAAACAACTCATCCTATGTTGGGGTAATCAATCTACAAGGGAGCCCATCCCTAACAACTCAATGGATCCAACTCATCACACATCCAGCAGTACACATGAGGCTCATATGATTACACCCAAAAAGAAGGGAAAAGGAGATAGAAAGAAGGTGAACATCAAAATAGCAGCGAGAGATTAGATTGCTTACATCGCATAAGCTACAGGCTGACCCCACTTCCAGTTTTGCAAGCAAATCTATCACCACATTCTTAGGAAGTTTCTTTGCCATTTCTATAGAACCATCACCTCCATATTCTGACTGATTGCCCTTCACAAGAATAGGATGATCACAGGCTTGCCGAAGTCGCAGCAACATTAAAAGGATGTTGGCATAGTTTTGTTTGAGTGTCCCAGCCGCAGCAAATGCCTGAATGGGCAAGCAACACATCAGCATCCAGACATTTCAATTTCAAGATTTCCCATTGCAAACATGAGATGCAAATATTTAACTACTGATCAAAACTACTATAAATCTTTAGATATACAACAATGCATTGGATCGGTACAGATTAAATAAATACAAAAGCATGAACTCATAAGGCAATTTAAATAGAAAAATGAGGGAAAAGCTAGCAATATACAAACCCAAATAATGACTCTAGATTACGGCATTGATGTTGAGCATATGTATACAGTATACTACAGGGCAACTAATAACCAACAAGTTTTAAGAGAAAGTAGCAACACGGAAAGATAAAGCAAGTGGAACTTGAAGACATAACAAACCTTGAATTGTTGCCGAGAGCGTTCCTCCAGCATCAAATAAAACGACCGCTCCTCTTGTGTGAAATCTACTTTATTCAGATTAATTGTCTTCGGAGGTAAATTTATTATTGGTTTGCCATTAATAAGAGTTTCTACATGAAAAGGTAGCATCCAATCATTATAGAGTTTTTAACCAAATGGAAGATAGAATCAACTCAGCCAAGTCCACATATACAACGAAAAGGAACTATAACGTGACAAAACAAACAGAGACAAGTATAGAAAAGAAAAGACAACAATGCCCAATAAAATAGCAAGAACTTACAGGCTACAGCTCTGTAGTAACAGTAACAGTAAAAGCACAAGAAACAGATTAATATTCTACTATCTTAAAGTCTTAAATGAAGCTATCTAAAACTGAAAACAACATGCTGATTTGGAATGTTAACCCCGAACATTACATGTAAGCTTAAATGAAGAAATAAATTTTAACAAACCTCTTCGCATGTCCTGTAGCAACAAATAGTAGAAATAACATTTAAGTGCTGCACATAGACTAAGTAGCATAAAAAAATATAACTGCAGGAAAACAAATTGAGTAAAAATCCATTTTTATCACCTTTTGTACGACGCAGGAGAACTACCCTCAGCACAGCCTGAAGTTTCTTGTATCCATGAACTGCATCTCTAGCAATTGGGTGCTTAATCATTGTGCAAAATGAGTTATACGTGGAATACGGATCATATTTCAAGAAACGGAAATAGCTGTACAGCTCATCAATTGCATTTTGTATAGGTGTTCCTGATAAGCACCATCTTCGTTTTGCTCTTAGCCCACAACAGGCTCTGGCCACTACAGTTCGGAAGTTCTTTATTGTCTGAGCTTCATCAAGCACAACCCTAAACCACCGCACTCTTGCAATTGGACCACTGTCAAGGTCAAAGTTTGAGTCCTTAAGTTTCTTTTTTTTCTTAGCTTTGTTTTGCATATTTGCTGGTGGCTTTCTTTTATTGTCAGCAGAGGGTTCTTCACTGTTCTTTTGATCTGCATCATCGTCAGCCATCTGTTTAGGTACTTCATTGGCCACAATTGTATATGTAGTGACAACTACATCATATTTTGCTAGCTCACTTGGATCTTTGGTCCTTGCACCACCATGGTAGACTAAAACAGATAATTTAGCACTTTCACTAACCTTGTCAGTCAATTCGTTAGCCCACTGCTTAAGAACACTAGCAGGGCACACTACTAGAGTACCTGCAGCTGGCCTTGTCATGGAACGTGAGGTGGATGCAGATGATGTGGAAGCTTTAGATTTTTTCTTGCGTTCCGCTTTGGTTTCAACCATTTTATTCAGAACATTATTCGGTTGATTAACACAAAGTTCAGCACTAGTACCAGTAGCTGTTGATGATGAACTAGCGCCTTGGTCCTTGTTAGGTTCATTGCTGACAGTTTGTTCTCCCTCATCATCTTCATCAAGGTTTAGTGCTTCAGATTTCAAACGATCTGAATCAACAGACATAAATTTCGACTGTTCATTCCTCTGTTTTTGTATAAGGGCAATAGTAGACACTGTCTTCCCAAGGCCCTGTTACAACACAACTGCTTGACTGTTAGAATACAAATATGAAAGATCTAAGCGCTTATGAATAAGTAAGGAAATCAGAAATAACCTGATCATCAGCAAGAATTCCGCCTGCACAGTGTGAGCTATTCTCCTTTGAAACCATCCAAGCCAACGCCATTTTCTTTCAAGTATTAAAGGTATGTAAGGAACATGATATCCAGCACAAAAGGAATTGACAAATAATCAAAAGTTATACAAGGTTCCATGTACCTGATGCTTAAGTAGAGGTACTGCTAGCACACCCTCGGGCAGATCATCTTCCCTTTTTTCACGACTGATATTCTGCATAACATATTTTGAAAACAATGACATTCATGGAGTCGAATGATGACACTCAGAGTACAATGAAATATAACAACCAATAGCTAAACAAAGTTTACCTGGGTACTTAAATATATAATTCCTAGAGGGAAAATAAATCCTAGTTGAGCGAGAGAAAAAAAATCTCAGATCAGATAACAAAAGTTAAAAAAAAAGCAAAATATGCATGCCTCTCTTAAAAATCAAAACAGACACACATGTTTACAAAATAAAATGGAATCCTTCGGAAAAGCAAGATTTATAAATGGCTACGGTAGTTGCTAAACATATTTACTGGTCATCAGATCAAAATATGTAAAATGCACCATCAATCTCTGGCTTCCTTGATTGAAGTACACTTACAATTTATTTTCTGAAAGATCTAGTGAATGGAGCTGAAACCCTTTTTTTTTGGTAAAGTATGGATCAGGATATAATCTTAGGAGCAAAATGAGAAACTCAAAATATAAGTATTGCAAGGATAAACTTTCAGGCTGCACATGGCGTTGCTGCAGATTATGATAAATGGATAGTCTCCCGTTTGCTAGAACTGCTTTCAAATACTTAGGCGTTCAGTCAGCTATGTTTTGAAAAGCATGTTGCACATGGACATATTGTTACATTTCAAATAACAGAGTAAGTCACACGAGATAAAGAAAGGGGACAATCATCCACCAGAGACCAGACAATCTAATTTGTTAACCAATAATCAGATTTTCTAAATGACATGCAAGATTTATCAGAACTGCTTTGCTACTAAAAAAGTGCCCCACACACAAGAAAGAGTAAATGAAGCATGCAAAAATCCCATTAAATCATTTTACCAGTGTCACAACATAAAAAGCAACCATAAAGTAAAATGAAAGGTAAGTATTTGTATTAATGATTTATTCAAATTCAACAGGTTGGAAGATGCAATTTATTTTCTTTGAAAGCATTTATACAGCAATCAAACATGTCGACATGATAAACTTAATGTGATTCTCTCTATCCCTTATAGAATATCCTGATGATGAAGTGGGAAACTACCAATTAGATAAATTAAAATATTGCCTACCACTACCTCCCACTGATTCATCAAGTCAAGCCAGCACTGAGAACAATGGTTACATTGTATAGAAACTGCCATCGATGTAAGTTCAAGCAAAGAGGAGACTATTATTAATCCAAATGCATTCAGATTGCCACTGGATTCAGCACACCACAGTATTAGCTGGGCAGGAAGCAAGCAACATGTACACATAAATGATCAAAGATACCTGCAGGGCTTCTTGATATACTGCTCTCTCATCATGATCTAAGACCCTATTTTCAGGATTAAGGCGATTGCGTGTCTCAAAGCCATTAGCAACTTCACTGTTATTAGAACTGGTTGCTCCAACCATTGGAGGTAGTACCCTATGTGAGGTAGAACCTCCATATACAACAACATCATCTGCCCATATAAAAAGGGGTGAAGATTAATGTTACTACAGAAAATCTGAACCATTTCCAATGTTTGTATAATCGATAAAATTATATCATGTGATGCTAGCGTACGCACCATCATCATCCACTTTCTGGGTATTAAGTGTGCTAGAACTTCCTCTTGCAATTATTGAAGATGAAGATTGTAAATTTCCATTGGCAATATTTGTCCCCATTCTGTTTTCACCGACATTTGGTGACCTTTTAGTGGAAAAATGCGGTGGGAGCTTGCGTGTCTCACTAGCAGCAATTGGATGCATAGATTTCGATGCGTTGCCATTTGAAAAGGATGGTGGAAGGACACTCTTGTTATTGTCATTTGCATCTGCTGTAGAACTGCTATCAATTCTACTGGAGGTAGAAAGGCCCTGTCGCATAGCCATGTGAGAACTTGGATAGGGACGAATCCTGTCCCCTGAACCAACTGTATAACGACTACTCTCAGCATTTCTACCATTTGTAACGGATGCTGGAAGAATCCTGTATTGACCATTGTTGTTCTCAGTAGGCCTAACCGACGACGGAGCAGGAGCGCTCCTCTGCCAATCTTCATCCTCAAAATTGATTATACGTCCTTCATTTTGATCAAACCTTGTGATTGCAGATGCTGGCTGGTGGTCATCACCGAAAATTGAGTCATCATCACTATCCGAACTCAGGTCAATAATGCCACCGTTTTCATTCATATTGCCAGCTAGCACATGCACTGTATATGTGTTATCAGGACTTCGTTTTTCTTAGCATGACTAAACCATTCATGAACCAATGGTTTGATTTCGATCTTATCTTAATAAACAGCACTTCCTTTTTTTCAAATGATCACCAAACTAAAGAGAGAGCACACCACACATCTCACAGTAGCACTCGCAGTTATTCGAGTTACCCTCACTGTGGGAGTAACCTGCAGGAAGATCAAACATGTTAGAACTGACTAATAAATAACAAGTAATCACAAATCGGAACAGCAACAAGTGCATAACAGCGGGGAAGCTATATATGTAACACAAAATAATAAACAATAATGAAGGGACAAGATCCCTTCCGATCAGCAATATTAACCTAACAAGCTCCCCCAACATGTCGGACATAACCGTTACATATACATACAGCCACAGCCCAAGTTTTTGGAAAAACTGGTGTTAGGGCATTTATTGTTTCCGGCTAATGTGGCATGCACTGGGAGAGCAATCCTAGATCAAAACCTGGATCAGATCGAACGGGCCCATTCAACGGTCATAGATCCCGCCCACAGACGTGCAACCGGACCAAATCTTACATGGCTGAGACCCCTGTGTTCCCGACGGGATCAGCCAATCTGGCATAGGAGGCACGCTCCCAAACCTATATAAAAAAACAAATCCCCAACCAGCAGCAGCCCAGAGGCGGAGAATCGGCGTGGCGCACGAGGGCTCACTTGCACGGAATCCCGCAAACTGTTCTCGAAAATAGATTGAGGAGAACCTCGTCGAATCAACCTATGTATTGGACGAATCGACAGGATTGGACTCAGACGTAGGGTACCTAGCAGCGCAACAATCCACGCACGTGAAAGCGGCGCGTAAAGGTATTCGGTTCTGATCGAGAACAAAACCGACCCCTGGAACCACGAGCGAACCCACCCCACCTTCACCCATCATCCATGCGGAGCAAGCGGACTCACCACCGAGAAGGGAAGGGACCGAATCCGCGCCCCCGACGGACGGATCTCCCCTCCGCTGGATGGCTCAGGGAGAGGAGCGGCGGCGCGGCGGAGGATCCGGGGGAGAGCGAGGGCGCCTAGAGGGAGACCGGCGGCGTTGCGGTCGGGGGATATTCAGGCTAGGTTTGGACTTCGGCAACTGGCGATGGCGAGGCGTTGCGAGGAAGTGGAAGGGGCGAATGCCAGTGTCAGGCTTGCCCGGTCGGTCGCGGCGTCGGGTGCGTGCGCGGTGCCGGTGCGCCCCCGTGCACGCCTGCATCCCCATTCCGTTGGCAAATCTATTTCCCCATCTCTCTCTTTTTTTCAAGAAAATCCCCATCGTCCCAGACAATATTCACGTAGGGCTTGGGAATATAAAAAAAATGCTTTCGATCACTACAACGGAATGTTCCGGTACCAGATTGTACTGTACTCCCTCCGTCATAGAACAGAGGGCACTGTGACTTCTAAAATTTGTATTGAAATACAATGCATTCTACATAATGACTATGTTTAGATTCGGCAAGGTTTGTTAAAAAGAAAGCCATAATTTGAGGAGAAACTCTATAATTGAAATAATCTATGGGTACGTGCGTTACTTGAGTGTTGCCTTAAGTTGTCTTCAAAATTTTTAGAACGCACTGTATTGTAGGACAGAGGGAGTATCGGATAAAAGTATGAAATTAAAGATAGTGTTTAGAGGCTTAAATTGGAACTTTGGTCAGTTCCAGAATCAGCCTATGCCAGTTTTGGTCCAACCTATCCATATGAAACGATATAAAAATAGTATCATATTAGTTTTATAATAGAACAAGACTACATGTACTCCATAGAAAATACAGATACACGGCTGATTGAGATATCAACATCCAATCGACAAATATTAATTTACTGTCTCTCTTTTGTCCTACTTTTCCTATCCCATGTTGTTGTTCACTAAGGATGGCGTCATAGACTTGCTAGCCGACATAGGACTGCCGACGTCCTTGTCTCGATGAGGTCCATCCCGAGCGAGAGCTTCAATAGTTTCTTTACTAGTATATTCGAAAACTAGTCATGCTTTGTCACGTAAACACAATAGCTATCTTTACTTGTAAACATTGTTGGTGTCTTATCAATCTTTGCGTCAACACATATAAATATTATGATTTTACAATTCTTACAAACTTTAACATCTTATCAATAGACATCATTTAGTACAGAAAAGTGCATGACACAAAACTACAAATTAGAACCAACATTAACGAAATACTCCATTCGTCCCAAAAAAAATCTTGTTTCTCGAGTAGCCAGACAATCATTTCATCAAACATATACATAATTACAAATATTATGATATGTACTTGACTAATCACAAAATATATTTTTATAATAAATCTAGTTATAGTTGGGATTAATTGTCTCCTTAAAAAGTGAGATTTTTGTTTTTTACCTCAAGAAACAACGTCTTGAGTTGAAAGGACGTTGAATATTCATCCGATCTATACAAGTAAAGTCAACCCTAGGCTACAAGGTGGCCAGGAGTTTACGCTCGCTCGCTACTAATAACAATAACAACGCTCATCTTCTACCCTCGCTCGTCCCCTACCTCCGCCCAACCCCCGTCGGTCTCGCCCACCGCCCGGGCAGCAGTGCTCGTGGCTCTACTGCCCACCTTCGCCACTCCTTCCCCACTCTTCTCTAATTACTAAAGGAGAAAGATGAAGATTTCTTCACCCATGCCGCCTCACCCGCGCCCCCGCAACCTACCACCACCGCACGCCCCTACTCCTAACGCCGCTGAGCATGGAAACCTCCCCTGAAATCTGAAACTCCAAACCAAATCCCTGCTGTTTTGTAAATATAGAAAAATCCCGTCTTATTATAGTATTATTATTTTCAATCGTTTCCATCTGAGCGGCAACTCAAAGCGTCCATAGAAGGATTAGCCTAAAGTCTACAGTTCAATTCAAGTTTGTACTGAATACTAGCGATTTGGATCGAAACCACCAAAAACCAAGTTCTCAAACACATACTTATATAGAAGGATAAAATCATTTCATGAGCACTAGATTGTAGCAGGTATTGTAACACATGGACAAAAAAAAAGCATGTTTGGTTCTTGGACAAGCCCCTTGTCTCGCTTTGCCTAGTTAGGTGGCCGACGGAAGAACGGTTTGGATTTCAAGCAAGCTGTTCTCGGGGTATACAATGGCAAGTTTTTTGCTTTCTATAAGGTGGGAAATCAATTTTAGCTGGCCCAGGCTAGCAAGGTAATCCTCGCTTGCGCAGGTTAGGCGGCAAGACTCACCTGGAACTGAATGCACCCGTCATCTACCTAAAAACACACACACACACACACAGATGAAAATTGCATTTTAATTGTTGCTGTGTCTCTTCGTTTCAAATCATAAATCGTTTTGGCTTTTGAGAGCTATATAATTGTTGCTATGTATCTAGGCATGTCATATATTAGTTTATAACAAAACGTATGTACCTAAAAAAATTAAAACAGTTTATAATTGAAACAGATATTGTAGTTTATACAACAGCATACAATCTTTTTTCGGAAACACCGTAGAGCTGTATTTCTTTCCATTAATAAGAAGAAGAACAAGAACCCTTATAAACACACACCAACCCATCAACACAGTTGTCAAAAAAAAACAGCAAAGAAAAAACACAAAAACAGCACATATCATGCAACAGGAAAACAGCACAGATCATGCAAGTTACACAGATTGCCGATGACAAAAGACACATGACCTGACCAAGCCTAAGTTTGCTACACTTTCCTACAATCTTAATTGCAATAGCCAATATAGACAGAAAATAGGCATGAGAGCAAATGAGAAGGCCGGTTTTACAATTTCTTCTACACCTTGTAGCTTTCTGTTTGCAATTTCACTTGCACAACACAAAGTGGGCGCAAATTCCATCACCACCTGTGTAAAACAAAAATATAGCATCATGCTTCAAATTGACATTCGCAACACTCATGTACAGTTTCAACCATCAAATCTCATGCTCAGATCTGGAACTTGTAGAAATGCAACATGCCTGTAACGCATTACTGAATTCAAGATTGAAATTGTTCTGCATTTACATGAAACAAAAGAGGGAGCATTCCTATGGGGAAAATTCACTACATTAAATCAATGACGAATCTATGAGTTATTAACCAGATACATTTCTACAAGGAAGGTAGGGGGAGGGGAATGTACAGATGGGGGGTGGTGAGACTGTTACCCTGCTATCTAAAAGCTAAACTCCCCATGATCAGGTAGCCAAGGTGTGAGTCGGAAAAAGAATCCTGTAGACTAAAATCTCCAAAAGGGAGAAACAACCAAATACCATCTTATCTGCCTACAATCCTTTTTTACTAGCCTAGGAAAACGTTTGGTCTCGTTTTGAGCCAATGCACCATCTCCTTGTCAAGCGGGGAATTATTCAACACGGCATCCATCATTGGACTACCAAAGAATCTTGGATCACTCTTGAACACCCATATCCTATCCTTTGGCCATGGTCTCTGTGTCTGCTTTTCCTGTATAATCAACCACCAGAACCAAATAGTCAAGGGAAAACAATTCGTAAGATGATGCCAGTCTTCACATTTCCAACTTTTTATAGGCAAAGACAGTGATTACTGGGATGCAAAGAAAAAGAAGCATGAATGCTACATCACAGATAGGATCAATTAGCAGTCAATAGGCACAAATGTCTTACGCAAAGTACCGACAATATGCCAAGTTACACTAAGATAAACATATTGGGAAGAAATTGAGAAAAAATAGCTGGCAAGAAAACTTAATGTTTTCTTCTAGAAGATAAAGGACAATAAGAACAATTAAACATCATAATTTTATCAACGTAAAAGCATTCCATGTGCATAAAGTTATGAGAAGTAGCACAAAATGAATCAGAAAAATAATGGTAGCGATAGGTAATGATGTCTGATATATGGGGTCTACAGCACCAAATTATTTCATGATCCAACTTTTCTAGAACAAAATAATGAGTGTGCAAAACAGTTAAATTGTCGTTACTTGTTCTTTCGGAATTTTGCTTTCTCTACCTCCCATTACAAAATGAGTTCGAGCACATGATTTTTGCAATCTGGTAACCCCAAGCAATCACAAAATAGCACTTACCATGCGCGATAACATGAATCTCACAGTTCTGTTCCCATAAACTCGCTCTTGTGATGGCTTTGCAGACTTCACATAGAAGGACGATACATCTGGCAATGACATGCAACCTTTTCTAGCTCTTGTCAATCTAGATTCAGGTTCTGAATTCTGGCTATACCAATAGATAAGCTGGGCTAAGCAATAATTTTCTGGGTATGTCTTGCTGTACTCCTGAAAGCCTGGTCCAAGTTTATCAGCATATTTGGGGCCTAAGTCAAGCGGACTGATATGAACTGGTGGAGATTTTACTGTCTTATAATCCTGCACGCAGCCATACTTGAGTCAGCTCTAAAGAACAGATGGCAAAACCACAACCATCATTTTCTCAGTAAGTAATAAGCTTTCACTTACCCGGACTCGGAAGAAGCACTTTGTATAAGCATACAAATGAATCAAATCTGCAGCAGCATCATGACGACACTTGTAAGTGCATGGAAGAGTTCGCAATTCATCACGCAACCTGTACAAAAGGAGGATCAGATTCCACTGACAAGTAATTGTAGGGGAGAAGTCATTGCACATACAGGAAATACTGATCAGGTCCGAAACTTACCACAAGAGAGAATTCCTGATGCCTCCCTCAAAATCTTCAGTGTCTGATGGATCATGAGCACGGATTTTGGCCTTCAGATCACTAAGTACCTCTTCTTCAACATGAGGTTCCATCGACTGAAGGAGTTCAGCAACTATCGAACTGTCCCCTTTCCAGATGGCAGATACCAGACCTTTCCCAGACAACCTTACCAGGGGAGGAGGAGCATTATTTGGGTCTCCAAATATGCATCTCATAACATATCTCACCTGAAGAGTTGGTAGAGAAGCCAATAAGGATAAGCAATGATACAATATGTATGGTAGCTAGGTATCATCAAACAAGCCCAAGATTGAACATAAATAAATATTCACCTTGTCAAGTGTATGCACTATTTGCTGTAATCTTGAATTTAATACTCCCTCTGCCTGAGAGTAGCGACATAATTAGGTCACATTCAGGCAAATGAGAAAGTGGGGAAAAAGAACTAGGAGGCCTGACCAAGCCATCAGCTAATTTACCTGAACCTCAGCATCATTCTTCTCAGAATCCATGTTTATATCTATAAGGAACTGGCGCTTCTCATCCACATTGTGCCTTAAGATCTCATCAGGGAGTTTCTGTCTCTCAAGGTATATAAACCGCACCTTTTACAACAAAAGTTGATATAAGGACCAAGCTAAATTGGTTACAACATCAGAACAGAAACTGAACAAAAGACAGCTATTACAATTACCAGGTGAGCCGTGTAAGCAACAAGCCATCCCGGCAAACCAGCAAGCAAACAGGTACCAAGACCAGCTCTACCCAAGTCAATTAAGTCTTGTTGAGAGACAGAGTCTGTTTCACAAGCCTGTAGCAGCAGGCTATGCCTATCGAGCACACCATGGAATTCCATTAATACCTGATTCACAACGACATCAGTAGATGTGAACATGTCAGAATCATGCAAATAATCAATAAATATTCGCACTACAGGCATTCCTTCTAAACTATCCACCAGCATACTTCCAAAAGTTCACCTTCTCAAAGGCTCCTTCGCCAGAAAAATTCAAATAGCTGCCCCGGCACACTTGACTTCCACAGAGGCAGACTGACGCTTCATGTTCTTCTTTGCTCTAGCAAAATAAGTATGAAGGCATCAAACATTGCAATGTAAATATGTAATACATAATTTCATAAAGGAACCAGAAATGTGCTCACCTCAGTTACTGAATTGTAATCAAAAGTGATTTCCTCGCCTTCTACAATTGGTCGAAGTGTGTAAACTCCAATCTGGTATTTACCATCCACTGCTGTCACTCTATTGTTAAAAAAAAATCAAGAAGCATAAATTAGTGGACATTAGCCTTAGGGAGAGAGAAAAAGTCCAAGCATTTTGAGACATGCAAACATGGTAGCACATACATGTATTCAAGTTATCAATGGTTGAGTATCAATTTAATTAGCACAGAAATGTATAAGCATAACCAAGCAAACACGTACTGAAGTTTGTCAAAGCAACTTGATACATAAATCCCAACTATCCCAACTCAGAATAGAACTGTGCTCCATGAAATGGAATGAAGCTGGATGTGCAAGAAAAGCTACATTATATTGCTCTATGCTCAGCCATACTGATTTCCAGACCCGCGAAATATAATAAACATTATTTATGGAGTGCCAAGTATCACCCACAGCAGAATTCCAGAAAAAAAAGATTTATTAGAGTAACAACAGAGCAGTGCAAATTTAGGAAGTAAAGCTGCAATGAAACAGTTAACATTCAGAAGGTAGAAATCTGAAGCTCAAAAGGAGCTTACTTTGCTTCGCAGTTAGGGTTGCAGGAGTGGCAGATTCTACTCGCGTAGTTGGCCTTGTGCATCGCATCAACAAAAACCAAGTCATATCCATCTCGGTCTCCCTTCCATCATGACAGAAGTAAAAGGTTAATAGGATGAAAAAGACCATGAATTGAAATGACACCAGTTACAGGTAAGATCTCATTAAAACCAGAGGCAGAACACAACCTTTGGCCTTTCTAACATAATGTTGTAAAACTCAGGAGCTTGATCTTCGCTGTTGTTTTGGATATGTTTAATACCATCTTGCTTTTCATACCATCTCCAAGAAGGGTAAACCTGCAATGTTTATAAATCGACATATTCATGGCTATACTACTGCCCCTCGTTCTAGGTAGAATGGATGAATATTTAAAACTAAGGCATACCTCCCCAAAGAACTCGACAACAAAGTCATCTACACCAAATCCACCTTTTTTGTTGCAAACAACACCAAGACCCTGGAAAAGATGTACCAAACGTGTCAAAAAGACACAAGAAATGGACCTGAGTTAATAGGTTGCTGAAGGCATACCTTTCTATAAGCAACAAAGTTCTGATCAGAGCGATTTCTCATGGCCTTCAGCATCCCCAAGCACATCTTTGAAGTTCGCCTGTCACCACTATCCTCCGCAGATCTTTGGATTTCTTCAATGACAGGCCTAAGGCTGTAAGTCATAGGGGTATTTCCCGAACCAGTGAAATGCCTAACTTGCTTATTCAATGTATTCAGAAGCAACTGCATTGAAAATATTTAGGGTAAGTTCAAAGCTTGAACTGAAAGAGAGAGACACAGAGAGAGAGAGAAGGAGTGTAACCTAGCACCAATTACCTCCTCAATAAAGATATGCTTGTCGGTAGGTGACAACTCAAGATCAGCAGGCATAATGTCACTCAGTAGATTGTGTGTGTATGGATCTATGCCATATACTTCTTGCTCAAGAATTTCATCTCCTGCTACTTTTCGGGGTTGATAATCCTTAACCTCTGGAAGCTCCAAGTTTTCGGTGCCATTCTTCTGCGACAGCAACTTCTCAGAATAGTCATCAGGTAAAGCAACTCTCATTTTTCGTTGTACTTCCTCCACATCTGCTACAATAAGGTACTCCTCAATAACTTCATACTTCCTAGTAACTGGAGGAACAAGGCTGGCCTTTGTCATGCGGGCACCCAATATATGATCATCAGTCACAGGTTCCCCAGGTTCAATTAACTTTAGACCATTTCCTTTTAAATCCCAAGCTCCAGAATTTACATCAAGGTCACTCTCAGTATCAGAAACAGTAGTTTCACTCTCAGTTTCATCACCTTCAGAGTAGCCATCATCATTATCAGATGTTTCACTACCAGAGTAGACATCCTTTTTCTTTAATTTAGACAGGCTTCTTTTGATTTCAAGGTCAAATGCACGAGATGAATTATTATCTGCTCCAGCAGCCACCGAATTTGCTCCTCTTGTTTTGTTTTGCTTCTTTTTTAGTTTAGCATCAAATGAGTATTGACTAATGTCCAGGCTGTCCTGGGCTGCTGCTCCATTTCTCTCAGAAATGTACCTTGGGTTCCCTAGTCTCTTTGCTAGCTGTATGAAGGAGACAACAATTTGCTTTATATCTCCTGAATCATTGCCATCTTTATATCTGAGGTAGAAAGGAACTGTTAGAAATCACATAAACTTCTAGAAATCTTTAACTAGGTTAGACTAGATCATTTTTACCTCAATGCATCTTGGCACATGGTACGGATGTCATGCTTGATGGTACGAAAGCCATGGCGAGCATAATACCCATTTTTCAACCTACCTTCGATCTTGGAAACCTGTAAAATGGAACAGATATGGGTGTGAAGTATTAGTACATCGTATTAGACCATCAAGAGGGCTCATCCAAAAAATTACTCCCTCCGTTCCAAATTATAAGTCGCTTAGACTTTTTTGGTTCATCCATTTTACTATGTATCTAGACATATTATTGTATCTAGATGCATAACAAAATGGATGAACCAAAAAAGTCAAAACGACTTATAATTTAGGAACGGAGGGAGTATCAAATAGTGATGGTACCTTTGGAATGAAAAAATCAAATTTGTTATTCCTAATAATTTCTCTCAATCTGTTTATGACAAACTCTTCCATCTTCCTGTAACTGTTCTCTGCCTGTCTCTGCATCAAACGCCTCATTTCTGCATCCCTCGACAAAACTGCAGAGGACTTTCTAGCATCAAGCAATTTTGATCTTTTATAGAAACCTTGGCCAAATGAAAGGTTAGCATTCTCTCTATTTGAAATATCAGCAAAATAACCATCAAGCTCATCAGAACCATCCAGCTGATTGGTGAAGTTCCTAGCAACTTTGGATGCGTAGTTGTTCCCATCACCTATCTGCTTCAAGGTTTTCATTTTCCGATATGACTCTGGATTCAATGAGCTCCTGATCCATTTTACATGCTGAAATTTATTTTTCAGATCCCCTAGGTGACCGCAGCCTTGAATGTGAACATAAGATATTTGTGGAAGCTGCTCAAGTACTCTGCCAAGGGCATGTGAACTAAGATTCGAACAACCAGTTAAAATAAGAGTCCTAATATTTTGCTTCTCATAACCAGCCTGAAAGGAAGATGAATGATTTTGAGTCCAAAGTTAGGAGATGACAGAAGTAATTTCTCAAAAGTTCAAACAGATAGGCAAGACACATACCATAATATCACAAAACACAGAATCAGTGCAAAGAGGGCCAACAGAAGACAGATCAATGAATCTACACATGTTCCTGTAATACTTCGCGGCAGCATTCCAGCTCCTACAGGTAGCTGCAGAAGAAATAAGTGATTTCACATCTGCCCTCATAAAATGGAAGATTCTTGCTAACACATGGCCGTTTAGTAGACCCCAGCTTTCATTTCCTGCTCTGGGATTCACAGAATCATTATCAACAGAAGATGCTCCATCACATAACTCTTCAAAACAGATGTCCTCCTTCCGACTGGCAAGAATGTCTTCTGACAAATGAATATCTTCATCACTCCGGTCAGGTAGCAACTTTGCCCTTTTTGCGGACCCACCATCTTCTGTAAGGCTCACAAAAGAAAAGGAAATGTTACAGATGTCCACAAATTTCGATCAGTGATTAGCTAGAAGGAATATGTGAGTGAAACAAATTTGACGGTTCAAGATTTCAAATGCATTAAGATTAGCTTAAAGTTAAAATTTAAGAGCTGAAAAGTAAGTAAATAAGATGTCATGTAAGACATGACCACAGTACCTGGCAGGAAATTCCTAGATGCTGAAGTGTGAGAAAAGTATGCTTCAAACTCTTTTTTTGGTTGCTTTGCTGAAATCCATGGATCCAAGACCTCATTTATAGCTAAAGTAAGTTCCCTGCTCTTGAAATATTTCATGACTAGTTCATGTAATTTACCACGTGTATAACCCACGAACTGGGGGTGCAACTCATGGAAGCTACCTGATCCTTGGTTCACACCAAAATTATATTGGTCTGGGTGCATAAGAGCAGCAGTAGAATTTGAGTTTTGTGCTGCACTGGGAACAGAGCTTCCAGGTTTTAAATCCTTACGAACTGGAAACCATGTGTTATCAATCTTACGGAATACACTACTTTGTTCAATGATAGTGCCCTTTTTAACTAATTCTTGCAATTCGGAATAAGAAAATGGGCCATGCTCATGCCCAGTGCCATCAAGGTAGTACCAGTCACCCCGATTAACTGACAGCTCATCAACAGTGCATACACGGTCCTTTGGAATGTTTGGAACAGACTTGGACTTGTGCAAACTTTGTGAATCATGGTCATGGTGCTTCCTGAAATGCGACGAACCTTCATGGACAGAACTTCTCTCAGCCCCAATTGAATGGGAGCGTGAAGATCTCGACAGTGGTCGATCAGTTCCTCTGGGTTTTGTACGGGGTTCAACAGATGATTGATCTTTAACAACACGAGAATTTATCCTAACCACTGGAAGCATCATGCCCTTCACTCCCCTAGGAGGCTGTCTGGTCTGACCTGGCCTCCCAGGCACAACACCGCCTTTAGTGGTGTCATTAACACTGTCAGTATCTTCTTCTGTCGATGAGAATGCCCACATTGGCAGGTCATGCTTTTTAGTACATATAGGGTAGTACAACTCATCCTTGCAGGGCCGGCGTGGATCCTCATAGCTACCTTTTGGCATTTGACACAGAGGATACCCTTCATTGAGAACAAGTTTTTTCCTGAATGGAGTATCTTGGCTCAATTCGTCATTTCTCCTCCAGTCACCACCTTTGCAAGACCATCTCCCAGAAAACCATTCGCTAGACTCAGCATAATGATGAAAGTTGTTCTTCTCCACAGAAACAAGGCCATAAGCATCCGTTGCTCTATTTTCTAAGAATTCTGTGCCTCCATTGATTCCATCATCTCCTTCAGTATGCACATGGAACCTAGCAAAATCTGACATAATAATAATAATATATAAATCACAAATGCCAAGGATAATAACAGAATAAAGGCAACCAAAGAATTATATGGTGGCATCATGAAAGAACTACAAGAGAAAAACTTCTGTAGTGTTGATGAAACAATTTTCAATATGTTTCCTGAAGAAATATTAGGCTCAAAAGCAGATGATAAAATACAAAAACCAGAACACAGAGTCAGCATCTTAAAGTTGCATACCATCTAAAACGAAGAAAAACATATAGCCATTCCCAAAAATTGGACAAGGAACAGTGCAAATCCTAAGGCCAAATAAAATTTGAACTGATACAGTACCTTCAGGGCGACTCCATCTTTGCCAATCAGCAGGCTGAAAATCTGCACCTAAAAGCTCTGCAATTTCCAAATGGCAAAATGCTACAACATTAGTACAGCCATGAGGTTTAACTCCATAAATCTGTGTAAGTTCAGGCCTTCAGGGTGCTGGGAAAGTAAAATGCAGGATGAAGTACAGTGCAAGTTCACAAAGGTACAGTGCAATTTTATTCAAAACAAATAAAAAAAAGACGTACCCAGTGCAGAGCTCCCGCTCTGTGCGGGGTCTGAGAGAGAGTGTCAGTGGCAAGCCTTACCCTCGCCTATGCAATGCGAGGAGACCGCGACTCGAAACAAATCAAAGAACAAAAAAAAAGCAGATATCTGACATGGCCTGGGATAAATAGATCTGATGCAATTACACAGAAATCCAAATACAGAGCTTTAGAAGGATATATATGTAAAAAAGTGTAACTTGTTATGGTCGTCAGATCAAAAAAATGTTCCCGGGGGTGCAGATGCAAAACAGTTGAAGCAACTAAAATTCCTAGAAAAAACAAGGTCAGGGCCATTAGATTTTTGCAACAGAAAACTGTATCCAAACAAGACCAATAATGCAAGCTTATGGGCCCAAACGGCCCAAACCCAAGCAAATAGACATCATATAACACCTCATCGGCTCTCTCGGGTGCATACTGCAATCATGATGGGATGCGTGTTTATTGCCTCCACGACCACAAGAAACCATAACCAAGGGCTTCGCAGCCAACTCCAAAAGGATATATAACCAAAAAAAACCCGGAGAACCTAAGTCCAGCCCAGCCCACAGCAAAAACACGGGATCTCCAAATATAGCAAAGAGAACTTCTGTTTTACCTCCAATGATCTCGAGCTCCTGGCCATGCACCAAAATTGATCCATCCATAAGTGCTTCAACCCTATCATCAATGTAGAATTCTTCACTATCTTCAGCAGAAGCTTCCTCCATTTGTTTATCCTCAGCACCTGATGCCAAGTTAGAAGCCTCCTCTAGAGCTTCATCGAGCAAATTTCCTGGGGCTTCTGGTGGGTTAACCATCTGTGTTGAAGTGTCCGAATATAAAGAGGGGAAATCAGATGGCACCAGTGGTGAAGCTGCATTCTCTACAGTCACCCATCGGTTGCTATCAGCATGTTTTATCAGATGGTCAGAAAGAAGATATCCATCTTCCACCAGCTTCTTCAACTCAGCAAGCTTGGAAGGTCCTTGCTCGATACCGAAGTGATCAAGGTAAATCCACCTCCCTATATCACAAATTGGTTCAGTGGGTTCAGGTGCTGCACTAGTGTGAGGTGGGGTGTCACAGATATCCATGTCTTCTATCATATCTTCAGCTAGAACTCCAGTTGGCTCAGGTTCTGGTGGTGGAGGCAGGGGAGGCGGTACAGCAGGTGGAAGAGGCCGAGGTGGCGGAGGCGGAGGCGGAGGTGGTGGCGGTGGTAGTGGAGGTGGCGGTGGCAGTTCAGTGTGCTGACTGCTTTCAGTGGGCTTTTCTTTGGAGATTTTCTCCTCATTCTTCCCATTGCTACCACTCTTGGTCTTAGAAGATTGCTTCGCTGATTTACTTTTGTGCTGTGACTTTTCTGAGCTGTTGCCACTTCTGCTCTTCTTGCTTGATTCATGAGTGTCAGTAGGCCGACAACGTTCAGAAGGTGATCTGTCATGACGAAATGGGTTATGGTCTCTGACATCCTCATGCTGGACCCTCCCACGAGGGGAATTATCAACACGACTTGGTGTGTTATCCCTCAAATGGGGCTGACGAGCTCTATGTCGAGGTGAAATATATGGACTGCGGTCTCTGCTATCGTAGTGGCGAGCACGCTCTCGATGTGGGGAGCGCTCCAAGCGGCTCGGGCTCCTATCATACCTGTCATGACGAAAGCGATCATGAGGAAAACGGCCCAAGATGCCTGGGCTCCTCTCGTGCCTATCACGCCGATCCCGCGTTGGTGGCGAGACCTCACGATTTCTCCCAGACAAATGTCTGGCAGCAGATAAACTCTTCCCTTCTCCCTTCCTGCGACTTTTTGATCCTGACTGATCAGAGGTGTCAGCGTGGTGCTTGTGGTTAATGCTCTGAGGCTCTGTCGGCCGGTTCTTCCTTGCACTGCCACTGATGCTGCTCTCTGGCTTAATTTCACCAGGCTCTTCATCAGAATCCCGCAAGGAGCCTTTCTGGGCAGTTGAACTTCGCCTCCTGCCGTTATCATCGGCCTGTTGGGACTTGGCATCCCGCCTTTTTTCAGGCGGCGCAATCTCCCCTGGCTCCACTTCATCCTTGATATGCTTCCTGGTGCTCTTCCCAGAAGACTTTTCCTTCCTCTGCCTCTCCGGCGGCAGCTCTACCTTCTCAACCTCCCCGTTTCTCCTCGCCTTCTTCAATGGCACTGCTTGCTTCGTACTCACAATCTCCCCAGGCTCCACCTCCACAGCAGCTGCGGAGGCTGCCAGCACCTTCCTCCACTTCTTAGGTGGCATGCTCCTCTCAGGCAACCCATTGGTCTCGGCATCCCCATTGAGCAGCTCCCCCTCCTCCAGGTCAGCACCTGTCGCCGACTGCTGGTTCTTCCGGTGCTGCTGCTGCTGGTGGTGGTGGTGGCCATGAGCCCTCTCCCCCTTGTCCGGCATCGCTTCTCCCGCTCCTTCTCTCCTCACGAGGGAGCCGGCACGGAAGCCCTCGACTGTGCGGACGGCGCACGCGACTCCCCCATCTCCCATGGAAAACCTAGGAGGCTGTCGGGGGCCGTCGTCCGCCACGCTGTGCCCCACGGTGCGCTTCAGAACCCTAGCTCCCCGGGGCTCTCCACGCTCATCTCCGTCGCCGGCACCGCAAAACCCTAATCACAGAGCAGCAGTGTATCAGCCAAGGGCGGAATCAGGCAGCAGCAATGGGAGGCGCGCGAATTGGCGCGGGGGGGACCGGGCCGGATCGAAGCGGCCGCGGATCAGGGCGCGCACCTGCGGGGAATTGAATAGCGGCGCCTCAGATCGGGAGATCCGCGGCGGCGAGAGCTCGGTCACCGGCGGCGAGCTCCCTCTCCCGCCCCCTGCGCGCGGCCCCGGAAGCTTCCGGGATTGGGGGCTCCACACCTCGCGCGCTCTCGCGTCGTGGCCTTGGCGGGGGCGGGGCGCGGGCGCGCTCGCTATCGCCTGGGTTTGTGTGTGCTGGCTTTTGGGGACTAATGGCTCGTTTGTTCGTAATAAATCCTCCTCCGCGGCCGCGGCCTCGCCCTTATGAGGAGGGGGGAAGGAACGAAGACGGGACGAGGAGGAGCGGAGGTGTCATTTTATCGGGCCCTTCACCGGCCAACGGTTTTCCAGATTGCACCATTGGTTCGCGCCGTATTTGCATGTTAGTCCCTAGTGTGCTCGTTCATGTGGCTAATCAAATTTCCAATATGTTTTCTTCGTGTGCGACCGAGGATCCTTTCTCGATGGATGAAGTTTGGATCGAATAAGAGAACCGATGGTGCATTTTACTCGTGAGTTATAGTGTTTTTAAAGTGGTCATTGTATTTTTGGAAAGTACCTAAGTTAATACGGTATCATCTGTAAAATTAACCATAAACAACTAGCCTAATATACTATCAGTAGATTAGGTAGTATGTTGTACAATTGTGATGAGATTCCAAGGTAGAAAGTTATTTCGGCATTATCTATCTAAAATAATCAATGAGGTGGTTAATTTTTCATGATTTGATTTGGCAGTTTCTAGGCCCTAGGCTCAAGATACGACAACATTGGAAATTGCAAGACACACTAACACTAGATAATCTGAGAACCAACGGCCATCGTCCTGTTCGTTTGGGCTGGTTTGGCTTATAAGTCATGGCTGAAAGTATTGTTGGCTAGTTTAGTGTAAGAGAAAAATATTGTTTGTTGGTTGATAAGCCATGGCTTATAAGCCGAATACGACCAAACGAACAAGCTGCATATTTGGACATGTGTTCTTCGACCGTGTGATGCATAGCATCAGGCATTGGCGAGATTTTTTCGATTCTCGTGATGGGGCTATTGAGAATATGACTTTAATCGATTCCAAAGAGGGCCAACGTCTTAACAAAATCTTCAAGCTAGTGTAATAAAGTTTTAATCCAAATGTGTTTTTTGCCTTAAAAAATCCCTGTTTTTTCTATTGTTTTGTGCTAACTCCGTGTTATATATGAGTATCCACTACATAGGCCCCTATATACCTATAGTAGTATGTTATACTTAATCATACCTATGTCCAAGAAAGTCATATCAAGCATGAATGTTATGTTTATTTTCTTGCACCTTACACTCACATAAGAGTTGAGCCACACACCAAGTCTCTCTCATCCTGTGCTAAATGAAATTTCCAATATGTTTTCTACATGTGAGATTGAGGAACCTTTCTCAAGGGTCTTGAGCTGTGGATAAAGTTTGGAGCCAATAAAAGGACCCATAATGCATTTTACTCGGCGTGAGTTTTACAATTTCTAAAATGGTCATGGTATTTTTGGAAGTACCTAAGTTAATATAGTATCGTATGTAAAATCAACCACCAACAACTAGCCTAATCTGCTCTCATTAGATTTGGTAGTATGTTGTACAAGGGTGCTGAGATTTGAAGGTAGAAAGTTATTTGGGCGTTATTCTATCTAAAATAATAAATGAGGTGGTTAATTTTTCGTGATTTGATTTGGCATTTCTAGGCTCTAGGCCTAAGATACGGTAATATTGGAAATTGCAAAACATATTGATACTAAATAATCTGAGAGCCAACGACCCTGTTTGGATATACGCATTCTTCACCTTGCGATGCAGTAGCGAAGCCTTGGTACGAAAACTGGACTCCCTATTTATTCTCACGGTGGGCGAGTCATGCACGGTGTTGGCATGTGTAGGCTTGTTTGAGCACTTGTGTTGGCATGCTTATGCTAGGTGTGCTAGAGCTTATACTTTTGGCCAAAGGCCGAATGTCATTGCAAATGTTTAGCCCATGATTAACCCTTGGGAGAACATAAGTTTTTTTGTGTCGCAAAGAAACAACTTGTGCATTAAATTGATGAAGATATGGTGAACTTATGATCTACCAAGTTTGAATGACAAATCCGAAAAATCCAAGAGTTGTTAAGAATTTGTGCTTTTGTGTTATATCCAATACGGTCACTTACTTGCTTCATGTGTTTGCCAACGAGAAGTGAAGACTTGGCTGAAGTTGACTTGAGAATAAAAAACAACAAGGCATGGATTAATATGTGGGTGTTTGCAATGATCTATGTAGGCTAGTTCACCCTGTTTGATCATGTTTAACACTTGTTGTTAGTCTCGCTCTATACATTCTTGTTTCTATTTCAGTGGTGAACCTTTTCTAAAGCCTAAAATTTGCTCAAAATGCTTAGCTAGTCTTGGTTTGTACCATGTGATCTTTTTTAGCATCATTTGCTAGCATATGGATTTATTATTCTACTCACGTGGTAGTATCACTTTGAGTATCTTCTCATTCTTGATGATCTACTCCTAAATCCAATGCATTTCATAGCATATTTTGAGGGGGAGTTGTAGTTTTGTTTAGCTTGATGTATCCTATTCTGCTAGTGGTGTTGATCCCTTTCTACCTCTTCTTAAGGACTAGTTGTCTCGCTTGGTTGTGTTGAGTCTATCATCTACCCATGTCTTTGGGGACCAAGTTTTGCTTCTTCTCGGTTGCATCGAGCCGTTGCCCATGTCTTTGGGGACCGAGTTTGCTAATTTCAATTGACCTTTCTTTGCTTTCTCACCGGCTTGTGGTCATTTGGATGGGTTCACAATTTTTCTTTTACTTTTGATTCATCTCTTTATATTGATGTTGACTATGCACTCATCAAGGGGATGATTTATTTTAGGTACTGAGATGCTGATACACATTCTAGGGAAAAAATTAGGTAGAATAGCTATTTTGGTCCCTCAACTATTACTCGAGGCTCAGTTTCATACCTGAACTTTCAAACGGCCGTTTTAGTCCTCAACCTCTACTTTTAGGCTCAATTTCATCCTAAAACTATGAAGATGATCGTTTTAGTCATCAAACTTTGTATTTTGGGCTTAATTTCATTTATAAACTATCAAAGTGTATTTTGTTCTCTAAACTTTTATTTTTAACTCAACTTTATCTACGTTCTAAGTGGAACGCTGCACTGTTGCACCTGGTTAGCTCCAACACCACCAGCGGAGAGAGAAAAAATAATATTCGTCCAAAAACTCTTTCGTGGCCATTAATAATTCCAAGTTGTTATTTTTAATGGTACCGTTTATATATATCTAACTAAATGATATTTGTGGGAGCAATTACAGTTGCATGGAACACTATTCATTCTTTAAGAATACATGGATATATTGAAACAATAGTAGATCTATAATTTTGATAATTCATGGATGAAATTGTGCCTAAAATATAAAGTTTTCTTTTTTAATAGACAAAATTGAGTTGAAAATGAAAGTTAAGTGCACTTTGATAGTTTACGGATGAAATTAAGTCTAAATTGCAAGTTTGAGGACTAAAACGATCATCTTCATAGTTGTAGAATGAAATTGAGCATAAAGTTAAAGTTTGAGGACCTAAACGGGCGTTTTGAAAGTTTAGGGATGAAATTGGGCCACAGGTGACAGTTGAGGGATCAAAATAGCTATTCTGCAATATATATATATGTGTGTGTGTTTTTACATTTTTCTTGTATCATCTACGTGAAGCTAACATCTTTAAATGTAAAGTGCGGAATCATCTTCTGGAAATAGTGGTGGCACGTGCCAAGATTACGACTGATCGCAAGCACAAAACATGCTTGACAAAGTTTATAAGTCCATCGATTAACGTGGTTTACAGAACTCATGAACTACCTACAATTATCTAACATTGACACGTTACAGAACAAGCTTTTTGGGTTTGCATTCTTTTTTTTTTCCTGCACGTGCTACCTTATCAACTTTTTTGTGCACGACCTTTTATCAAGAACAATATGACCTATCTATGTTTGCGTGCTGAGAACAATTAGAGCATCTCCAAGAGTTTGGCATATTTTGTTTTCCAAAGCATGGTGTTTGCTAACTCCCAAATAATTATGGGAAAGAAAAAACGAGGCGTACCTTATAATTGACTTCCAAAATACTTATAAACTTTGTGGACCCATATGCGAAATCCTTCGGCGCCGCCTCCTCAATGCTCATGCCGATCCCTTGCAGGTCTCAGGCGGCGACGGTCAGCTTCCCGGCCATCAGCACAGTAGCATGCAGCCGGCTATCAGGCAAGCAGGTTCGCCACGCGGCCAGTAGCTGCTTCACCGTGCGCCAGCAAACACTACCAGGCAAGCAGAAGCAGTAGAGCAGCCGGCCAAGAGCATTACTTCAATACACATATACACGGGAGGAACTATCGTCGGAGTTCATCGCGACACGGCAATCCCGGCACCGCGAGCGAGCACAACACTGCAAGCGACGGCAATCCGGGGGGGCACAGGAGTCGGAGATCATCTTGGGAGCCAGCGACGGCAATCCCGGCGGCGCCGGGCGGTAGGAGACGGTGTGCGATAGCGCAAAGAGGAACCGTGGCAAAAAAAAAAAATCACGACACCGCGTGGGAGGAGGAGACGGCGCGGAGAATCACGAGGATGTGCGCAACTAGATGGAGGATGGTTTGCTAAGCTCCAAAAGATAGGAAAGGATATAGAGTACTCTTGGAGATGAGTTTTTCTTTTTTTCCAAAAAAAATGAATGGAAAAAAGGATATGGGACACTCTTGAAAATGTTGTTAGTGTCTCCTGTAACTTGTTATGATCATATCGACCTATTATACCAACAACAAGTACTCATCAGCAAGTTTGGTTCAAGGATTAGCTTTATCCAACAGCTGACTCCACATGCATGCAGGATCGGGTCAGCTGTTATTTTTTCCGGTAGATCAGGTAGCTTCTGTAGATCGGATTGGGGGAGTTAACAAACGAATCGAGTGATGGCATGGGCTTAGAGCATTTCCTAGAGTTCTCTAAATATTTCTCCTAAAAAATTTATGTTTATCAATTCTTAAAAAAAATTAGAAGAAAAAAAGAAGTCCATCTCCAATAGTTTCTAATATTTGACTTTAAAAAATCAAATGCTGGTCCCATTTGACTTTTTTTTTTCTACGGTCTTTTTTTTTCACGCGAACCTCTTCATCGCCACGCGTCGTCGTCGTCGTCGTCGCACCAGTACTTCTTCGCTAGTTGCACACACAGCACCAAACAGAGTACGAGTAGTCGGGCGCGTAGGGAGTACCACGCGTGCGTATCTGCGCCCCAGCCCAGCGATGCGCGCGAGACATGCACATATACATACATGCGCGCATGTAGAGGCGTATAGCTAGCCGTAGAGGCATGGCCACTGCCGCTTGCCGTGCATGATGTGTACCGTGGTGTGACGTGGTGCTCGCCACGCACGCCGTGTCAGAGGGACGCCTCGGCGAAGCACGTCGGCGCTGGAGCGGGAACAACCGAAGCGTGTGAAAGGTCCTTATATGGCTAGAGTGAGGGTAAATAGCCTATTTAAAAATCTACAAATCAACTAGAGCAATTTGATTAGTATGACAAATAGCGTAATGCAAACTTGCTCTAGCTCTACAAGGGTTGCAAGCCACCTATCCAACAATTCTAGTTACAATGAATACTTAGGCACACAAACTAGCTATGTAATTACTCACTAAGAGCTCTCAACCTTGCTACTCTAAAGAGCTCAACTAGATGAATGTAAATAATAAAGCAAGCTCTCAATTCTAATTACACTAAAGAGCTTATATCAACTAGTTTGCAAGAATGTAAATGAGTGAGTAGAGTGATTATACCGACGTGTAGGGGATGAACCAATCACAAGATGAATATATAGCCAATCACCGGGAGAATGACAAAGAAGAGAGACAATCGATTTTCTCCCGAGGTTCACGGCTTGCCAACACGCTACGCCCCCCGTTGTGTCGACCAACACTTGGTGGTTAAATGCTAAGAGGTGTTTCACAAACCTCGTCCACACGATTGGACACCGCAAGAACCGACCCATAAGTGAGGTAACTCAATGACACGAGCAATTTACTAGAGTTACCTTTCGGCACTTCGCCGGGGAAGGTACAACTCCCCTCACAATCACCGAAGGCGGCCACGAACAATCACCAACTCGTGCCGATCCTTCACCGTTGCTCCAACCATCTAGGTGGTGGCAACCACCAAGAGAAACAAGCGAAATCCGCAGCGCAACACGAATACCAAGTGCCACTAGATGCAATCACTCAAGCAATGCACTTGGATTCTCTTCCAATCTCACAATGATGATGGATCAATGATGGAGATGAGTGGGAGGGCTTTAGCTAAGCTCACAAGGTTGCTATGTCAATGAAAATGTGCAAGAGTTGTTCCTTGAGCCGGTCATGGGGCTATAAATAGAGCCCCAATCAAATAGAGCCGTTATACCCCTTCACTGGGCAAAAGCAGCGCTCGACCGGACGCCGGTCATCATACCGACCGGACGCTGCCCCCTCGGCGTCCGTCGCCCGATGGACGCCGCGTCACCGACTTCAAGCGCTGTTCGTCGATTTCAACGGCTCTGAAGGTGACCGGACGCTCCGGTCAAAAACCGACCGGACGCTGAAGCCCCCCAGCGTCCGGTCGTTTCGAGAAGCTCCCGATGACATGCATGTTTTTCGACCGGGACGCGTCCGGTCCCTTGACCGGTCGCGGACCGGCGTCCGGTGCTCAATCCTACCCATCAGGTTGTCTCGGCTCGACCGACGCAGACTTTTTCGGCGTCCGGTCATTGAGTGACTCCAGCGTCCGGTCGATGAGACCGACGCCCGACATCATTCGACCAACTCCATTTCAATTCTAACTTCTTCACCCTTGCTCAAATGTGCCAACCACCAAGAATTTTGCATTGCAGTAGTAATAGAAAATAGACATTTCATTTTCCGAAAAGCCCAAGAATCTCGAGAGGACCCAAACCCATCTCAATCCTACAAACACCTTGTGCACATGTGTTAGCATATTTTCACAAATATTTTCAAGGGTGTTAGCACTCCACTAGATCCTAAATGCATATGCAATGAGTTAGAGCATCTAGTGGCACTTTGATAACCGCATTTCGATACGAGTTACACTCCTCTTAATAGTACGGCTATCTATCCTAAATGTGATCACACTCACTAAGTGTCTTGATCACTAAAACAAAATGGCTCCTACATTTTATACCTTTGCCTTAGCCTTTTGTTTTTCTCTTTCTTCTTTTCCAAGTTCAAGCATTTGATCATCACCATGCTATCACCATTGTCATGATCTTCGTCATTGCTTCATCACTTGGAGTAGTGCTACCTATCTCATAATCATCTTGATAAACTAGGTTAGCACTTAGGGTTTCATCAATTAACCAAAACCAAACTAGAGCTTTGAAGCTGCCGCACCGGCCATGGAACAGTCCCAGCTCTTCGCCGGCGAAGTCGAGGAACATCTGGTACTCCTCCAGCGCCTCCGCCACCTCTGTCTCGTTGGACGCCGCCGAGAAGTCGTCCCCGGGGCCGAGCAGCAGCGCCTGCGGCTCCTGCTTGATCATCATCGCCTCATGCTTCCTCTTGACGACGGGCGCCGGAGGAAGAAGCGCGGGCACCCCCGCCGTCTTGCGGTTCCGGCGGAAGGAGTCCCCGATGTCCGAGCTCCACAGGCGCAGGAAGATGTCCACGGGCTTGGCGCAGCAGGCCTTCAAGTCCACGGTGGAGGAGGACGAGGAAGCGGAGGTTGCGGCCGGCGGACATCGCCCCCGTGACGCCGCCGCCCTCCACGCGTGGCTTCGTCCGCGTAAAGTTACGCAGAAAGGGAGGAATTTTCCAAGTCCTAAAAGATTAGGAGTAAATATTAGGAGTTGTTGGAGAGGGTTTTTTTTTCTATCTTTCTAAAAAAGAAGGATTAGGAGGATGTTTATGGAACTCTTGGAGATGCTCTTACGATGCAAATCAAATTCCGTTCTCAGGTTTGATCTTAGGATCAGATAATTGCCGATTGATCAATATGACAAACCAATATAATGTGCCATCACCTAATATTGGGTTTTTAAGTCGCTCTATCGATCATATCCATTCTTTGTCATATCTATCTCAAGATTATTATTCCATTTGCCAAATCAAGGCCTATCTGGAATCGAGGAATGCAAAACTGAGGAAAGAAAAAAAATGCAGAATAGGAAGGGTGTATAGTAGTAAAATAGAGGAAAGTAAAAACATAGGAAATAGCTAAGGAGAGGTGTTTGGAACGGAGAAATTTATACCACAGGAACCAGAGAAATAAAAATGATTCAGAATTAATATATGAACCAGAGGGACAGCTTCGTCTCTCTGCTCCCTCTCATTCACCTCGGGCTTCCACGAGAAAATTGCCTCAGACTGGATGTTTGTAATCCTGCGTTTTGTTGAACAAAGCAAAACTTTCCAAAAGAATAGGAAATTGCATTCCTTCGTTCCAAACGCACCATGACGTGAGTGGGCGATTTACAAAAATGAGACTCAAAACATCGGTCGTTTGCAGATTTAACACTGGACCTACGTTTATAGACACAAATGGACCCACTTATCATCCATCCGAGTGTCATCATAATCAAGGACTCAATTTTTCGAGTGTCATTTTTGCAATTTTTTCATTCCAAACGGGGCCTCAATGTTGACAAGAAAACTGCGTTACTCTGAACAACACGAGCATGAGCACAACGAGTCCATGACCAACCTCCCTTCTCTTGATTGATAATAACAAGATAACATGACATGCAAAGTTTATAGCAACATTATCAGTAATGTGTTGCAGATTTGCAGTGCCAAATCAATTCAGAACAAATTAAAGGCACAGGTAATTGAACGAACACTTCAGCTAAATCGGCTTATGCCGTCTTGCGACCTTTTGGTTCCTGGCTCGATCAGAAGCGAACGAAAGTACCTTACACCTCTTCTATCTTAGCCTGTTTGACCTGCCCCGACGTGCCGACGGGCTGCTGGCTGCTGCCGCCGCCACGCTTCCTGCTGCTCTCACGCGAGATCTCCACCATCTCCTCCATCTTGGGAGTCAGGTACGCGCTACTACCCTTGCTTGACGACGACTGCACGTCCGTCCCCGAGGCGCGCTGCTGCGCGTGCGCGCTCATGCCGGCCAGCAGGCACGCGCGACCCGTCTGCTGGTACTCCGCCCGGTTGCCCACGCGGGCGCTGAGGTCGCGCAGCTCCTCCTTGATCGCCTCGCACGTGGGGTCGTTGCCGGCCGCGCCCGGCGCCGACTGCTCCACGGCCTTGAGCCGGGACTCGAGGATCCGTGCGGCGCCGGCGTTCTGCCCGCCGTCCGCGGCCACCCGCGCGGCCGCGATGTCCTCGGCCGCCGCGAGGCGCACGCGCTCCCGCTCCACGTCCAAGGACGGGGCAGGCAGCGTCGTCAGGTCCAGCGGCCTCTGGACCACAGCGGCGCGCGCGGCGACCTGGCGCGCCTGCCCCATCGCGGCCTCTCGGTAGGTGCAGCTCGCCTTGACGAGGCGGGTCACCTCCTCCGTCGGCCGGGCCCTCGGCACGTACACGAGCACCAGGAACCGCCTCTCCTCGCCGTCGTAGAGCTCGCCGACGTCGATGGAGGCGGCGCGGCCATCGGCGCCCACGTGGCTGCCGTAGGCGCCGGACTTGACTTCCTGGACATGGACGCCCCTGTGCAGGCACGTGACGGCGACGCGCGCCTCCTGCACGGCCACCGAGAGGAGCCCGCCGACGCAGCGCGCGAACGAGTCCTGGATCGCCGCCTGGTTCCCGACGAACGAGAAGGTGCCGCCCGTGGCCTCCGCGATGGCGTGCATCGCGGCGGCGTCGTGGTTGGTGCCGAAGCCGAACGTGTGGATCGGCGCGGGCCGGCTGCTGCTGCCGGCTCCCGTGAACGAGGACGGCACGAGGTTGACGTAGCTCTTGGTGCCGTCGGGCCTGACGCTTGTACCGCCGCAGTTTTCCTGCCCGTCCGAGAGAAGGATCATGCCGGCGACAGCGTTCTTCTCCCGGCGGCCGGCAAGTACCTCGGCGCCCACACGGAGGCCCTGCCTGATGTTGGTGGACCCCTGGACAGCAAGCGACTCCACGGCGATCTTCGCCGAGGCCTTCCCCGCGTCCGACATGCCCGCGAGGCGGGTCAGGCGGCTGGCGTCGTTGGAGAAGGTGACGACGGAGAGGCGATCGGCGGGGCCGAGTTGGTCGATGACGAAGCACATCGCCTGCTTCACCAGCGCTAGCTTCTCGTCCTTCATGCTGCCGCTGACGTCGAGTACGGTGACGAGGTCGAGCGGCGCGCGCGCCACGTTGGACGGCGCCTTGGCGTGCACGAGCACCGTGAATCTGTCGCGGGACGCGGCCCTCGCCAGGGCCGGGAACTCGCACTGCGTGCTGAGGACCAGCCCGCCGTTGGCTGCCGGGGCCTGCGCCGGGGCGGTCGGGCGCTGCAGCGGCTCGTCGTCTTGGTACAAGCCAGCCGGCGGCGGCGGCGCCGCAGGGACATGGGGACCCTTGGTGTCCGACATGGCTTTCTCGCTGATGATTGCTTGGTGGTAGGGTTCGGCAAGGCAGATGATATAAATCGACTCCTCCCTCCGTGGGCCCGGGCCGTGGCATTCTGATGATCCGATCCGTCGCTACCCTTTCCGATCCCAACTCGCAATCCCGTAGATTGCGGGCGTTCCGGATTACCGTTTGGTAGGTCTCCATCCGGCTTTAGAAGTTGTTTGGAGCTGTTTTCTGTTAAATGAGATAAAGTGAAATAGCTTCACTGGCGAAGCTCCTAAAAATATGCTTTCACAATGATTTAGAGATGAGATAGAGCTAAAAAAAAAAGTGGTTTCTCCCGGCTCCTCCTCCAGGCCCAAAAACATGCTCTCACAGGGAAGCTATTTTGTCAAACGGTTTACCAAAACTACTTCAGCTCCACCGGTGAAACTGTTCGTGGAGCTGAAGCAAAAAAAAAAAAAATATAGTTTCACCAATGAAATGAAGCATTACCAAACGGAGCCCCAACCTAAGTTAACGATTAGGACAATGTGGCTTTCAAAGTATTAAATTAAATAAGTTATCAAATACGGAGAAATAGATACCGATATGATACAATCTATATCTATATCTATATCTATAACTATGTATCTATATCTATATACCTACAATAATTAATATTAAAAAAGCAAAATTTTTCTCCACCATATTTTCTATATCCCTCCCTGACTACTCGTGTGGATGTAAGATGGAACACAGATACGACAGTTTCTGATTAATTTTCTGTTTTCAATTAGTGGTTCCAGGTTTTTTGGTTCTCCATTTTTTTTCCAACAAAACTGTTTTTCGTGGCTGCACATGGTTTCCAATTCTTTTTTATTTTTTATTTTTGTTTCATGATTTTCAGTTTGTTTTTTTATTTTCAGTTTTTTCCACCGGCGAGTTTTCTTTTCCGGTACGTGATCACATTTACAATTCGACCAGATATCACTTTTTCACAAATCTGACACGTAATCAAATTCGCAATTCAAAACTAGCACAATCCAATCCAAATCGATTACGAGATCACTTTTTAAGCAGCTCATGTGTAGGTCATGGTATGGAGTTTGACTTTGAGACACACCTAGTATAGATGTGTCTTTTATGTCTAATATTTTTATATAATACTACTTCTTATGTTCCAAATTATAAGATATTTTGATATTTCTAGATTTATAACATTTGCTACGTATCTAGACATAACATATATATAGGTGTATAACAAAAATTATGAATCTAGAAAAACAAAACGTCTTATAATTTGAAATGGAGGGAGTATTAAAGAGCCAAAATTTCATCGCCGTCGTATCCTTCCTGTCCCTTGCCAATGCTAAGGCATCAAGTTGGAGGACGGGGACCAGGGGCTGTAGAAAATTAGCAGGTGTAGGAACCGGACATAAATCTGGGGTGAGTTTTGCCGTCACTCCGGCCGGCTCCTCGCAAGCAATCAGGCATCTTAAATCAAATAAATTTTAAGGCCCATTATAAATACTAGTGCAATAAAGGATTAACCAATGTGAAAAATTGATAGATTGACTCAACTTAAATAAAAGGCGCTATAGGCACCTAGTGTGAGTCTACGGAAGATGAAGGGTGAACCACACGCTTGCATGCCAACTCGCAACACACACAGGCTTAGGAGCCCAGACAAGGAAATGAATGGCGCGACACAAATGAAGATTGTGCAGTTGTAAACTAAAAAGAAGGATGCAAATAAGAAACGCCGAACTTTGGTGAGGAACGGACGGACGAATGGAGAGTGAGAGATAGGAAAAATTACCGTTATTCACTTTTCGCTCATTGTTAAGTTTTTTTCTCGAATACGCAAAAGATTTACGTATCTTTGTATTAAGGTAGAAATTTTTGATATACACAATGTGCTTCTGGTGAGCGCTTATTGTCAAGTTTATCGTAGAAAAACATTTTTAGTGATACGAATGGAGAGGGTAAGAGCAGTGGAGGCAGGAAAAAATACCATTATCATAGAGAAACATTTGCAGTGAGAAAATTACTTCTCTTATGAGGAGCTCTATCAAATAATCCCTAACAAATTGGTGTAGACTAAACATTAGCTACCGAAAATGATATGGGCAGTACCTCCTAACATGATTTATCTGTTAACAAGATTGATCTATTTGGATCTTGGTCCATAATGGCCTTTTTATTGATTTTGACGATTGAATCTCTCTGTGAATGGAAAAAGACGTGTGATCGAAATGCACAATCATGAATTTTATACACCATGTAATTTGGATAATTGATTTTTGTTGTCCCCGATGGTATAGTTAGAGCAAGGCTAATAGGATATCCGGTTTGTTGGCTGTAAGGTTCCTTGTAGTCTTCTCTCAGTCACTCAAAATAGTAGTTAGCTCTTTACACAGTTAATACATGACCCACTAGTCGTTCTCACAGAATTTTTTGATTTTTAGGTCTTGTTTAGTTTCAAAAACTTTTTTTTCAAAAAGTGCTACAGTAGCCATCACATCGAATCTTGCGATACGTGCATGGAGCATTAAATGTAGACGAAAAAAACAATTAATTGCACAGTTTGGTTGAAAATCGCGAGACGAACGTTTTGAGCCTAATTAGTCCATGATTGAACACTAATTGCCAAATAAAAACAAAAGTGCTACATTAGCCCAAATTCCCAAAAATCGCAAACTAAACAAGGTCTTATGCTCAAACCAGCTGTAAACTTATAATTGGCTTCTCCTTTCTCCTTACTACTATCCTCCACCTCAACATTTACCAGCTTGCTGCCTATTATTATACCTCTTACAATTGAACAAATGCTCTATTACGTTCGGACCAATATAGCCCGGAACATTTGGACTTCAGGCGGCTGGCTTTTGCCATATTCGGCCGGACCATAGTTCATCACCGTACCATACCGTACACACTTGTGATTGTGAGCAGCCCGTGCGCCGCCGCTCACCGGTCGTCCCCACTCAGGCACTCATCACAGATCTTACTCGTGACGCCACCGACCGACCCAAAGCCTGGCGCCTGGCCCCTGGCCTGACGTACCCAAACCCAATTGAATCGAACTCGGTCGAATCGGAAGTTCGCAGAATACGGCTTTTCAATTAGTTAACGATTGGACAATTCAGTGCGCCCTTTTGGGCGGAGCCATCGGCGGGAAAAACGCTTGAATCTCGTCGTCGTCGGCGGCGGCGGGGAAAAGCTCGTCGTCGTCGTCGGCGGCCCATGTCGCCCCTGTCGCCCCTGCCGGCGTCGTGGGCGAGGCGAGGCGGAATACCGCGCGGTCAGGTGGGGCGGCGGCTAACTAGAGGTTGGGGCTTTGGGTGGCAGGCAGCGGGTACGGCGGGCAGCAGGAGCAGGGGTACTCGGAGGAGCGGAGCAGCGCGCGGCGGGTGGCGGACCACTACAGCGCGCGGTCCAACCAGACGCTCCAGGAGCGCGAGAGCAGCCCCATCATCCACCTCAAGAAGCTCAACAACTGGGTGGGTCTCAGACTCTTAGTTGTCAGTTCAATTTAACCGCCCTACCACACTCCATCCCTAGATTCCTTGATGAAATGATGAACCCCTGATGGTTGTATTGCATCCTGCCATTACCATGCTAGCCGAGTAACCGTCGTTCAATCTGTGTGTGTCGGCAGATAAAGAGTGTTCTGATCCAGCTGTATGCACGCCCGGGCCACTGCGTGCTTGATCTTGCTTGCGGGAAGGTAAGTGGCCAGCTGCGGTTACTGTATGTATAGTAGTAGTCAGTAGAAATAGCTCTGGTTCTCGTGCTTGAAGTTGATGTTAACCATTGACCTATGCTGCTCTGTTTTGTAACGCAGGGAGGTGATTTGATAAAGTGGGATAAAGCCAAGGTTGGCTACTACGTGGGAGTTGATATTGCTGAAGGCTCGGTTAGTTTCTTATCACACAAAACATTTATTCTGTGTTTACAAGTAAACCAGCTGGAGTTGTTGTGTATTACCTGTATATTCAGCTAACCCATTTTTGAGTTGCTATCCTTGATACCTGATGGAATCTCAAGATTTTGATGGCCCTCTGAACATTGATTTTTTTCCCTTGGTGCTCTTGTGTGCTTATGTTTCATGCCTCTTAGAGGTCTCAAATTACAAATCAACAGACTCAAACACTTTCTGTTGTAATCTCATCTTATGTGTGACATATTTTGATGTATCTGCATCACTTTGGAGCATGGGCATATAATGGCCTTACACTTTCAGATAAAAGATTGCATGATCCGCTACAATGGTGACACAGATCAACAACGAAGGAAGAAGTTTAGTTTCCCTGCACGACTTCTTTGCATTGATTGTTACGAGGTAAAAGAGAGGAAAATGCTAGTTGGTTACCCATGACTAACTTGATGGTTTGCTTTTCTGCACATGCAAACCCACTAATAGACTGAACATGTTACCAGGCATTTAACCACAGGCTGTTTAAAACAGCTGATCATATTTTGTAATTATGTCAAATTATATGCAAGCATGCGCCCTTGCATAGAACACTTTTTATACCTTTTTATTTACTGAAAATGTGATACAGCCTTTTGCTTTCACATTGTTAGGCAGAATATAGTGTACCTCGTAGTTTCGTTGCCTGTGACTTTCTTCTTATGCTTATTAAGTTTACAGAGATTGAAGTACAAACAGACCAATTTCTTTTCTTTTGTTTCTTCCATAGGCTCGTTTGGATGAGTATTTATGTGAGGATGCTCCTTTTGACATATGTAGCTGTCAGGTGAGGCATCTCGTTTTCTACTTTTAGCCATTGATTTTACATTTCTCCATTTATTGTGTGGGTTCAACTTTATCCTTTCCTAATTGTCAGTGCACCTTTTTGTTTGTCGAAGCTTCTCTAATTCTACGTGGCCGTGAATGCGACAGCTACCATGCAAATATTTTTCCATAAGAAGATGGTTCAGCATTTAGTATCATCGTTTTGCACAATAAATGAAATGTTACTAATTTACTATTATGACTAAAATGTTCTTCTAATTGCTCATTCATTGTCAAATCTTCTAAAACTTATAAGTTATAGCTGACTAATTGAGTAAGGTTATAAAGAGCTTTCCTATTGTCGGAACAAGGAACTCTCTTGAATCGTACAAACTCTATTTTGAATGACTCCCGCTCTACAATTTCAGTTTGGTTTACATTATTCGTGGTCAACTGAAGCACGTGCTAGACAAGCCTTGGCAAATGTGTCTGCATTGCTTTGTCCTGGAGGCATTTTTATCGGGACGATGCCTGATGCGAATGTCATTATCAAAAAGCTTTGAGAATGTATGTCTGAAAGTGACTATCTGGATCTTATGTTGGCTAACTTTGTCACCACCTTGCTCTTGCTGTAACCTGTGTGATAGTATAAAACTCTTTTACTATGCTCAGCGGAAGGTTTGGAATTTGGGAACAGTGTTTACTGGATTAGCTTTGGTGAAGAGTATGCTGAAAAGGTAAATTCTGCTCCATTATTTTATAACATCTTCCTTATTTTTGTTAGTTACTGATTCAATCGTTTTGATTCGATGATGCCGTAGAAATTCCCTGCATCCAGACCTTTTGGTATCAAGTACAAGGTTCACTTAGAGGTAACAGTGGGACAGTTTTTCCTTAATTTATGCATTATATTCCTTTTAGTTTAATATGCTTCAAAAGGGTAATTAATCTTGGCACTAGTTTCTTTTCACTTCTCGAACTTAAATATTGACAGTCAAGCTTGAGTACGTATTTGTAGTTCCTTCTGTGTTGATAAATTAAAACGAAGTGCTGTGATGAATTTCTTCTGCAACTTGCAGGATGCTGTTGACTGCCCAGAATGGGTCGTTCCATTCCATCTCTTCAAGTTACTCGCAGAGGAGGTATTGAGTTGTTCTCTTCCTTCGACAGTGACCAAGTGCTGCCTTTGCCTCAACAGACAGATGTTACTAGTTACAACACATTGTTTTTTATGCCTTGCAGTATGATCTTGAGCTGGTTTTGATGAAGAACTTCCACGAATTTGTGCATGAGTATTTGCAAAAGCCAGAGTTTACTGAACTGATATGGAGGCTGGGTGCCCTTGGTGATGGAAGGCAGGACCAAAGTAATTTCGCACCAAATCTTGGAGATTGGCTACCCTCGAATGCTGTCAGTTTTTCCCCATCTTATAACAGTAAAACGTAAATTGTAGGCACACTGTCACAAGACGAGTGGGAGGTTTCCTATCTGTATCTTGCATTTGTCCTTCGGAAGGTACCGTGCAATTCACAATTTCCTGTTCTGTTAACATTTAGATAGACGGTTTGGTAACACTTTTCTCCTTTTGTAGCCAGGGCAACCGTCTACCCAGCGGAGAGCAGACAACGCAAACATGTTCCTCACCGAGGGTGACATTGAGTTTCTCGGGATATAAGCCGAAGTCTACCCTTATAGAGCTTGCTAACAGCTTGCGATTCTATGCTCCACATAGCGTGAAAGAAAATTTTAACTTTGGACCGGTTCGGCTGACTAGAAAAACGGCCGATGCCGATGCTGATGCTGATGCTGATGCTGATTTGTTGGGAGAGAAAAACACTCTTATTTTACTGAAAAGGTACGGCTGATAAGTTCAAACGAACATGGCCATTTAGTGTCTCACTGCTCACCAGCTATTTGTTTCTCCAATCTGTATCTGTTGTGTAACTTTACAAAATTAAATGTACCAACAAAGGGACTCGTAATGCAATTTTGGAGGAATGAATGAACAATAGATGGAGCGGTTGCTCGTCAGCTTCAAAGATGCACTCACAAAATATACTTCTTTTTAGGGAATTCACAAAATATGCTTGTGCGCACACATTTTATTATTTCTTTTATTTACTCGAAGTTTCGTAGCTGGGTTATGAACGCCCCATATGTTTTGTTTTGTAGTTTGGACGCAACTGTAATGTGGTTGATGACGCCATTAAGAATCCAAGTATTCAGGGGAATTGTCAACTCCGGCTGAGGCAACTACAGAAACGAATGGTCACTGGTCAGCTGCATTCCAAATGGGCTAATGGGCCTGTTCTCCCTGTACCGGAATCACTGGGCCGTGGCCACATCCTCCAGCAAGAGAGAGGTGATCAGCTGGTTAGCTGAGTGTGAGCGCTTGCGCTGAGCTTTAGTACCACCTCGGTTATCTTCGAAGAGCAAGCACAACATATAAGCTCGGTTACTTGAACAGGATCTGTTCTATAGGCTCGTACCGCTGCATCCTTTACCAAAAGGAGGCAATCACTTAAGTCTGGTTGATGATCGAGGACCTCTGGGCCAGAGCGTGATTAACGGGCCAGGATGCTCCGTCAGGTGCCATCTGATGGCTGTAGAGGATCGTTCCTGCTAGGCTTGGCCTGGTTAGGGTGGCTCTGAGGTTGTCTGACAGACTATTTTTGCATTTTATTCATTTTTTTTTGCCCATTCAGCATACGCGTGGCAAGATGTTCAGTTCAGGTTTCAGCAAACAAGCGACGACCTTTGTCATGTTATTATACTATACAATTTGCGCACAACATTTGGCTCTTATGGTGTCTGCACACCATAAGTTAAGAAACCAAGATACACACAAAATATTATAGCATAGATTATCTTTTATTGTACTGTTTTCCAAGGACAAGGACACAAGCTGTACATTACATTTGGAGTTCTTGACCATACGACAAACGAGTAATTTTCGACAGATCTAAAGCACCATGAGTCCCAGAAGGTACTCATGAGCTATCATCCCCTCTTGAACAGAACAACTAGGATGACCCCTATGGCCAGAGCCATGAAGGATCCGCCGACAGCCATCTCTGTTGCAGAAAGGCCCTTCTCAGCTGAAGGGCCTGTTCCATCCTGGCCCTTGGCTGAGTCGAACAAGTCCTTGAAAAAGTCGGTTATATTATAGACCACATCCATCACTCTCTTCTTCGCATTATCCACAAAATCAGAGAAAGGTGAGCCAGTGGGGAGTTTGCTGTTGGATGCATTTTCAGAGGTGGCGTCTTCAAACTTCCCCAGCGACTCTACTGTGGCGGCTTCTTCAGGGAATGTCTCAACTAGAGCTGTGTCATAGCAGAGGACAACAACAATGGTCATACAGGTTGGTAGAAATGATGAAGGTGATACATGTAACTTCGGCTAAAGATTTACTGAGGTACATACTTGTCTGGTGATTCTTGTAAAATTCCATAACCTTCTCATTCTTCAATACTGCATCCCAGACATTTCTATCTGATGCAAGGGACGCTACAACACTCTGGAGATCAAGAGTCAAAACAAACAGTTTAAGTGAGAAACATAATAGATGATATCAGAACAAATTAATCTAAGTGATCCATTGTGGTACGGCTACATGATCAACTAGTATAAACTAGTATGTGATACAGAGCTATCCTACATATTTAAACTGTGTAACTGAAAAGCAAAGACTGCCCACAGAACTCACTATTGCAGACCAGACAGGAGCAACAAACAAACATATGTCAAAGGGTTTCTTCTAAGTTTATAATTATAGCAGATAGAGCAAGACATCAAATCATCAGCAACGCAATACATTATTAGCCTAACAAAATTCAACAAACTAGGTAGCATTGTATGAAGGTCGACGTATGTGACAAACAATTCGTGGCATCTATAGGGTGACGAATAATTGATTTCCCCAAATGAGTAGTGCAGTATGTTCACAGGGGCCATTGCACAAACCTGAGCCTCCGGGCTCGATTTCAGCAATGTAAAAGCTTGGACCACATGTCCAGGCATAGAAGGAATTATGGCATCGGTTGCCTGCTTATTAAACTCTTTATCCTGTTCCTTAACAACCTCCACTGGAGACTCATTGAAATAAGCCCTGTAACAAATTATTCTGTGAGGATAGGGTGAATATACATGAACCAAATGTGAAGCAAGTATTTCCTGTGCAGATGCAACAGATTGTAATGGCATCAAAGTGTTGTTGAGGGCATCAATAGACATGTATGAAAAGGTACAGGTGCCACAGAGCATCACACTTTCATACTTGAGTATGAATAGATGCACATGGATGAAACATGTATACGACAACTAAGTGGGTAGGAAGCTTTCTTCGATGAACATGTACATAGGCTGCATCAACTAGACAATGTGAGTGAACTGAATAGCAAGCATCGGATTCTCCTTTCCAATAAATCTATTGCTTTGTTAGGCCTAGGGTTCTTATCACCAATTGGGGAATAGAATCCCATCGCCTAATATATAACCCTAAAAAAGCCTAATCAGATATTCAGATGCTTCCTAAATCCCGTCAAAAAGAATTATTTCAGCCAAACATGTCAGGATGAACAGATCGTAAAGAAAAGTTCCAGCAATCCAGCTAACGAAAACCATAATCACAACCAATTAGTCAACTACAAAAATCTTTCCTTTCCATCCAATTCGACGAATCGACAGAGGGGAAGTGCGAAAGACGGGATCTTTCACCTCTCTATGGCGTCCCTGAGCTCGGTCGTGGCCTCCTCGGCCTCCTCCCTCGACGGCGGCGCGAAGACCAGCCTGGGCTTCGCGGCCGCCGCCGTGGCCTCCCTCTCCGCCACCAAGGCCGCCGCGGCGTCGTCCCTCCAGTCCGCGAACTCCCAGTCGTCCAGCTCCCAGGAAGCCGCCCACTGCGCCGCGGCGGGGGGCACCTCGCCACCGGAGGCGGAGACGAGCGGCGCCGCCTCGGAACCCGCGGCCGCGGGGGCCGTGGCGAAGGCCGGCGCGGCGTGGCGGAACCGCCCGCCCTTCGCCGCCGCCGCCGCCGCGGCGCCCCCGGCGATGCCGACCTTCGCGGCGGTGCGCATGACTCCTCCCCCAAGGTGATGGCGACCTCGCGTTCCCTCTCGGTGGCGTCGTGTCCCCCCTAGCTTCTCGACTTCTCGGTCCGACGGAGCATGTGTGGGGGAAACTGCAGAAGAAACCTTGAAGTTGATTGGTAGCGTAGATAAGGTCTTTTGCTGCAACAGAACGCTGAGAAGGGTAGAACTGTGATTGTTAATCTAGATAGGGTGTTTTATGGAAAATATTGGAGGAAAGATGCCGTCCCGGCGTCCCGTGTGAGTTGAATTTGGCAGGCCGGCGATGGGATTTTTTTTGGAAGCAGGTAAGGGCGCAGTTGACTTCGACGCTAAGGTGGTGTTTGAACAGCTACTCAAATTTAGGAGGTGTGTTGAGAGGACGTTGTATATGATGTTTGATATTAATAAAAAAATAAATTATATAATTCGTTAGTATTCCACGAGACGATTTTTTAAGCCTAATTAATCTGTCATTAGCGTATGTTTACTGTAGCATCATATTGTTAAATCATTGACTAATTAGGCTTAAAAGATTCATCTCGCAAATTAGTCGTAAACTATGCAAATAGTTTCATAATTAGTTTATATTTAATACTCCATGCATGTGTCAAATATTCGATGAGACAACGACTAAAATTTAGAAGAAGCAACCAAACATACTATAAGGCCTGGTTCGAATCCAGGTGTAAAGCTTCCAGTCTCACATCGGGTGTTATATGAGATCGTAAAAGATGTTTGAATACTAATAAAAAAATAAATTGTAGAGTTCATTAGTAATTCGTAAGATAAATTTATTAAGCCTAATTAATCTGTCATCATCACATATGTTACTGTAGCACTATTGTTGGCACGAAATTTCGTCCCGTATCGAGGGCACACGAGCAAGCCGGAAGGGTCCGCTCGATGGAGCTGGAGATCGCCTAACTTCAGCGCAGGGATGGTTGATCCTACGCACTCCTCTCGAGACGTGCCAGTTAATTTGACCCTTCAATTGACAAGTAGAGAAAGTTTATCAGTAATTTAGGGCGAAACATGTCGATGTTGCCAGACAGTCCTGAATGTGCGGCTCTGAGAGCCGATATGAAAAAAGATCGACTAAAGAGTCGATTCCAGCATATTCATAAAAATAAATCAGTTAAAACTCGTAGGGGTTATGTAAGAAGAATCGGTTATTGTTCAGGATGAATATTATTATTTAGATAAATATTGGTCAATGACAATAAAATATCAATAATAATTGGTTTATACTAAGCCAATGACTGCAAGTAACCGAACCCCTTTTATATAAAAGAAACAATTTATCATTATTTAACCATTTAATAAAGATAAATCTAATGAACATATTAGATCTCATCTATCGCTATGACCAGTGGGACATGAGACAGAATCATGCAGGCCATAAAAACAATAATAGACTCGACGACCCTAACTTATCACTAATATCAGTAGAGCATGAGGTAGAATTATGCAGGCCGTAATACAATAATAAGATCATGGGGCTAACACATCTTTCAACCTATCCCTACTTCAACGGTCTCGTGACGTGAACTGTTCGTAGAAGCACTCGATATCGGCTAAAACAGCCGATTCAAGCATAGCGCAC